TTTTTTGTTCATTTAGTCAGCAAATTTGATCCTTTTAGACAAGTCAGTCGGTAAATGTAGACCCTTTAGACAAGTCAGTTGGCAAATATCGACTCGGCAGTCGGCAAATTTCAAAAAAATGAGGACCTTGATTTTTTTTAGTCGGCAAAATTGTAATAGCACCCCCACCCCCCACGTGACAGCAACTCGCGCCAGCCCAGAATAAATGAATTTCTTTAACTTTATAAATGTGCTATTTTAATCAAACAACTAACTTATTTTAAACTGATCAAAAAGCTTTCCTGTAGTGATCTTATCATCACTAACAGAAATCTGTGCACCCAACATTCAACATTGGGCGGGATAGCTCAGATGGTTAGAGCGTCAAAGAAAAAGTTAAAACCCAGACTGTTGAACGATACGAGTTCAAATCCCGCCACCGCCAACTCAGCGCTTGAGTAGTACTTTGGTACGCAAAAATGTTGGTCAATAACGGACGCTACTTTGGATTAGTCTTAATGACTATTTGTCGCTGTTCCTATGCTAAGCCAACAATATCTTCGGATATAAGAACATTGTATAGAAAAATGTAGCATGAAAACTAAAATAAATAAAAAAATAAATAAATACATTTTTTACGGGCATAAGTGATCATTACCAATAAATATACATCTACTTTTTATTAGATACCACCTTATTAAATTTATATTTAGATCGTTCAAAATTTTGAATAACACTCCGTAACAACTTAAAATTTTTTCATGTTATTTGTACTTTTAGTGAGATATTTAGTAAGTTATTAAACATTTATGCTCCTTTTAAGCAAAAAAAACTGAGAGGTAAAAATAATCTTTTTATAACTAAAGACCTATAAAAAACAATTATGCTACATTCTATATTAAATAAAAAATTCCTTCTTGATAAATTTTTTTAAATCACTTTAAGTGAATTAATACACTCTCAACTTCAGATTCATCTCTTTGGAAGATAGGGGAGATAGGAGCACATTGATCGCCGAGGCAGTATGATTTTTTAGCTTTTACTCGTTTATTTTGACTTAGATTGCAATTTAATTAACTATTATACTACACTTTATTGTTTAATTGTAATGTTTTTGATAAGACTAACTTCTGCGTAGAATAGAATAGAAAATACAGTTTTTCATCATGAAAAGTGATTTTTTGAAAGTAGTAAACAAATCAAATAAACTTTTATTTAGATTTCCGTATGACTTTACAACCCTTTTATTGTAAACTTATATGTGTTAAGTGTTTAATAACTTTCTTTTTTTGAGTTAGTTATAATATTTACAAAAGTTATTGGCATCAATATATCAATTGTACCTCTTGAGGCACATTGATCGTTAACTATGCGGGGTTCATTGATTGGACGATCAAAGAGCCCCAAATAATTCATATTATATGACTTTTACTTTTTGTTTAAATTTTATACATTTAAACGAATGATATGTACTTAAGAACATAAACAAATTTTATGTAACAAATGTGATTTTTAACATATCATTTTTAAATTGTAATAATGTTAAAAATTAGTATTAATAATTTTAGTTTTTAGGTTTACATAATTTTTACAATTAGTTTACATGTTGTAGCTCGCAATTTTAGTATCAGACGAATGATTTTATAAATTTTATAAAAGATATTATCATAAAAAGAAGCTCAATCCAAATGAATCTTTTAAGCCTAATTAGAACAGTAAAAAAGTTTTCACTGCAGAAGATGAAAAATGTTTATCAAATTATTTACTACTTGCATCAAAAATGAACTATGAACTTTCAACTAAGTCAAAACGATTATTGGCATATGAGTTTGCTGTAAAAATAATAAGATCTGCCAATCATCATGGATCAAAAATATAGATTGCAGGGATTGATTGGTTGGAAGGTTTTATGAAAAGACAACCAGAATTTTCTTTACGAACACCAACTAGCTTTTCTCGATCAGCTGCCTTTAACCAACACACTCTAGAAATTTTAAAAATCTAAAAACAGTAAAAAAACGATATAAATTTGATTCTTATTGCATATGTATAACGTCAAATTTCAAGATTTCATAATAAAGAAAGGTCCTCCTGGATGCGTGGGACTTGCAAGTACTTCTGGTTGGACGAATTTAGACATTTTTTATAAAATGGATAAAATATCTTGTGAGGTATTCAAACTGTTTTCATGAATCTCCAGTTTTGTTACTTTTGAAAAGTTTTTTGAACAAAGTATCACCAAACATAGCTTGATTACTCTCACCTGAAATTTTTTAAAACTTACCCAAAACCATCTGCTAGAAGTGTTAAAAGTATGATCAGAAATGAAATTTGTTAGTCAGAAGAAAAGAAAACCCAAAACCAAACTAACCTATAAAAAAGTAGAGAGAAGTTAAAACTACCTGCTTAGGAATAAAAAACAATGCAAAGTAAAAGCAGCATGACTTTACTTTAACAAACGATGATAATATAAAAAGTACTTCATTTCTTCCCTCGGGTGTTCACAGCTCGTGTGTGACCATTTGGAGAATTTTATATGCCAAAGTTTTTAAATAATATAAAAAGATAACCTTATAAAATTTAACCTTAATAAAAGTCTAGTATGAATCTTATATATTCTTTGTAAACTTTAAATACTGTATTCTTATAGACTTTAAAAGCTTCAAGTTTTGTAAAGATTTACACATAGGGTAAAGGAAGGTATGTTCGTGATATATGTAATTTCGTGATATTTCTTTCGGCATTTGTAGCAAACATACCTATTAGTCAAAAACATCGAAATTGCGTCAAATGGTACCCGGGGTACTACTGTCGATACACAAATAGTCGTTGGGTGCGTGTGATACGTCAATTGTTTACTATCAGTTTGTACATTCTTTAGCATTATTTTACGTGCGTTCAGCATTTTTATTTCCAGACTTGTGTTTTAAGGTAAGTAAATTATTTTTATTAAATATTAAACTAGAAAACATGCTTGATTTAATGGTAAAACTTTTGTTTTTTTATTAACTTCCTATAACTTATGATTCCTTATCGCAGTTACACATTTTCTTAACGTTTTCACCTCAAATGAATTTACATTTTTAATCATTTTTAATCAATTGACAAACAGAGAGATTCAAAGTACAGAAATTCAACCACACAGTAATACTGCTATACAAACATTATTAACTATTCCATCTGTAGAGCCAACCACACCTAACCCTAATAGGCCAAAAAGGGATTCAAGTGCAAAGTGTCTGACTCCTCTTGATCAACCTATTCCATCAACTTCAAAGGATTCTATTCCTGTATGTTCTAAAAAAATAAAAAAATAAAAATGCTTCAAAAGATGATGATTGGGAGTGCGGTGTTTGTAAAAAAAGTTACAACAGTGATGTAAAAAAAAAAAAAAAATGGAAAAAAATGGGTGCAGTGTTTCTATTGTTTAGTACCTTATCATGAGAGTTGTTAAACATATGAGGACATTGGTAAAGTATTTATGTGTGATACATGTTGTCAACAAGAATGTGATTTAGAAAAATAAGTTAATCAGATATAAGTATGTTTAATATTATAGTTATTATATTAAGAGTTTTTTGTAGGTCTGTTATTTTATTTTCTAAGCTACCTATGTTAAAAGTATATTTTTTTTATATATAAATATAAAGTAATGAAAGTATTATTATAATTTTGTTAACTTATAAGCCTGACTATATTTATATTTTATGAACTTAAAGTCTGATTGAATAGTTATGAATTCAAAACAAGTGTTGATATTTTTTGTTATATTATACCAGATGTTATACTTAATTAATAAAGAAAAATTTAAATATTATTGTGTACTCACGAAATTACCTAAGCACTATCACGAAATTAAATATCATATCACAAAATTACCTAACTTTTCTCAATGACTTTTGAGCTTTTATAAAAACTTATCAAAGGACTTAAAATCCCAAAACTGCATAGATTCTAGTAACTTTACTCTATGTACATCAAACAATTAAAGTAATTAAGTAAAACTACTGAAATTGACTTTGTAATTACACATCTAGTTAATTTATCACGAACATACCTTCCTTTACCCTATATATGTTAGTGGTATCTAACGGGCTTATTTTATACATACAATAGTGGTAATTGATTCTTAAAAATTTATTCTAATGAAAATTTATTTTAAAATTTTATACACTGGTGTGTATTAGGTTGTAATGATATATATTTTTTATAATTATTTTACTTTTTTTTAGATGTATTATATAACATACACTAATACCCTTCAACTAAATCAGGTATAGCTGTATTAAACATGTAGATAATGCTACTCATATAAAATCAAGTTTTATATCTGTATAACAGAAAAACAAAGGGCAGTTATTGGTATTAAGTGGCCATGTTTACCAAAGCTTGTCTTTCTAAAAGACAATATGAAATTATTAGAAATTTTTGTAAAATTCAATATCCTTGCCACAGTAGCCTGCAAAAGGTAAAACTATATATGTTTAAGAATTCTTATCTATATACGTTAAAACTATTGTAATTATTATGAAAAAGTTTTTTATTTGAAAAAAAGTTTTTATATTTAAACTAAATTAAAAATAAAACGAAGTTTTTCAATTTTTAAGTCAAGTGGGTTTTAATGTTATTGCTAAAGATGCTCTACAAAAAGAGCCTCTGTCTGTTTTTATATCATCTTTGCGTAACCTAAACGCTTCTTTGTAGTTTATATTTTTATAATACAAACAGTAAAGTCTCAAATTAAAATATTGAAATAATAAATCAAAAAATTAGTAATAAAAGTTAAAAACATTCTGGAATCGTTCTTGCATGCTTCATGTTTCATTACGTTCGAAAAATTAAGTTATGCATATTTTTAAACTTTCATTTTAAACAAGTATATTTGTCTGATATATCGGAAAAAATTTATCTAAATTTTAAAATTAGATAACAAAATTAATATATTTTATTATATATCTAAATGAATATATCAAAAGGAAACAGTTAAAAAAAAGAAATTCAAAAAGTGAAGGAAATGATACCATGCTAAATAACCATATTTAATGCAACTCTTTGCCTTCATTTTATTTTCTTCTAATCGATTTTTACTACCAAACGTAAACGCGTACATTTGTTTTAAAATTTCTGATTTGCGGTATTCAGTTTGTTTCATTTCAATTCTGTTTCAACAGAATTGAATATATTATCGTAATCTAATAATTGAATAAAACTGTATACATTTACTTTAGTCTTGAATAAGTAAATAGAGAAATAAACACGAATTAAAACGTGAACATAATTACTTTTACTCAAACTGAAGTTGAAGATTATAATCTTATCATGATTGTTGTTTTATTGTTATTATTATCATTATTATTATTATTTTTATGATTATTATTATATTATTATTGCTTTAAGATTTGCTCCAATTAGTTATGTGAGTGTTTTTATGTCATTTTCATTATAAACATAAGTCACAAGTTAATAAAGAACTGTTTAATTTATTGTTAAATTTAATGGTTGAACTGCAACAGTTAAACTTTAAATTTAATCTGCTACTCTATCCGTAACAAGTTTGTTTCTGAGTTCTACATATTTCTTTTAATTATTTTATTCTGTGACCCATTGTTGTTAAATTAGTTTTGAAATCTGTTTGTTTATAAAATTTAAGACAGCTAATATCCTAAAAATTTTTGACCTGAATCTTTATCTAATGTTGTTAATCCAATTATTACAATATATCGATACCTTTAAAGCACAAAAGCGCCACTTTTTGTCCACTCTTTGAAATTTTCAGTAAACGTCAAAATAAATTTTATGGTCTCCTAAAACTCTTTTTACTAAAAAGCAAATGTTTAAAGTTTATTTTTTGTTTTTTGTTACATTTGTGTATACTATGAATATTGTATCATAAATATTGTGAAGTAAATAAATGTGGATTTGTAAAAACGGTGGTCACGTTTGTGCTTAAAGGTAATGGTAAACTGTGAACAAAATTATTAGAAGTATTGGGTCAAAATCCACAAACGAAGGTTTCAATATTCCAAGCATAAAGTTTGCTTCAGAGGCGCTTGCAAATAGTTGTTGTTTCTACTTTAGGTTATTTGTAAAAACCACACCCAAATTTTGTTTGCTTACTGTTACTGTGTTTGAACTATAATTGTAAACTTAAAAAAAAAAAATTCTTGGTTTATCTAAAATATAATTGATTTTCAAAGTTTCAAAAAAAAACTTTGAAGTACAATTTTCACAAAAAATACGGTGTAGAAAATCTTTCATATAAGCACTACTCGTCATATATACAAGTGTAATCTACTCGGTGTAGTTAAGGCACTTTTAAAATATTATAAAGTCTGTATGATGTTTTGTTGACTACGACATATTTCCGTTAAATGGTCTGTGAATTATGAAAAGACGAAAAAAATTAAAATGATAAATTTTGCGTTATCATAAAATAAAAATGTTTGTAGCGAAAAATCCCAGACCGTGGAAAATTAAAAAAAAAAAAAAAATCATCTTAAAATCACTATTACTCGTCCAAATTTAAATAAGATTTTATATTAATACGTTTTTTAGGTGAAATGAACATTATAGTTTAACAATATGATCTGTTCTGATCGTTTAATGGCAATTTTTTATAATTATAAAAAATTGCCATTAAACTCTTTCTTGGTCGGAATTTCAGTATTTTTTGTGAAAATTGATAGAAATATTGTGTTTTGACAACTATATATAGTCAGAACCGATTAGAACTAGGATCAGTAGTAAATTAAGAAACTTTTTAAAAAGATTTAAACTAAATTCATGTTAATGCCGATAAGCGGTATTGATTTAAAGACTCCAAAATAGTGTTCTTTAGATACATTATTACAGGTAGTAAAAAGATTTTGAAAATTATATATAAAAAAGAAAAGTTTCTTTAAATATTACAAAAACTTTAAGTAAACAAAATTATAACATTTAAAGATCTTGTTTGGGCATAATATGCTGATAAAACCATGCTAATTCCAAATAAAAGTATTCAAATATATTGTAAATCGCCTTAACTACACTGAGTATGCGATGGTTTAACTACCAAAGGAAGCAAATCATTTTTGAAAATTTAGCAATTGGAAAATATCAGCCCTTAAAGTACAATAGTGTTTGAATTTGACTTTTGAAAAATGTTCCCATTATTTTGTTACCGTCTAGCTCTACTTCTAAAACTAGTTACCTCAAAAAATTATACTTGTAGATACCCGAAAGTTATGGCAAAGGTCAAAGGTAAAGGAAAAACATTTTTTGAATAAAGCTTGTAATTTTTACTTCTGTTTTTTTTTAAACAATATGGTCAATTAATCAAAGTACCTTTGATTATTTTGATAAACATGAGTTTTTTTAATCCAATGAAATTAGTAAGATTTTAGATTAAAAGAAATAGCTGCATTTTTTGTTTTTTTAAAACTCTGAGTTATATATCTTGTTGGAAAATGACTGAAAGTCTTTAAAAAAACAAAGACTTCATAATCTTAATAGTTTTTTATGACTGGTGTAATTGTTTTTAATTTAAAAAACCTTTTCGTGTAAAAATGCTTACTGTAACAACATAATAAAAAGTGAATGTTTTATTATGTTGTACTTAACTTATGATTATGCCACACCTTTAGAATAGAATTGTTTTACCGAACTTTAAATTTGAAGTACTTATTACTTTTTTTACTTTTTAAAAGTACTCTAAAAAACCTCAAAAGCGAATTTAATTAAGAATTTAATCGCCATAATTTTGGAATTATTTAAATCTATCGTTAGGTTATTTATAAATTAGGTTATTTTTACAATTAAAGTTAACTTACGTAATTTTTATTGGGTAGTAAAGATTTCTCCGTGTTAGTAGTTATTTGGATTTTTTATTATTGAGATGAAGTTGATTGGTTTAATATCTATTTTATTGTAATGTAAAAAAAAAAAAAATTATGATAATGTTCCATAAACCTTTGACTCAATTTGAATTAGAGTTCAAATTGCGTTTAAGGTTTTTTGGAACACTATCTTCGATTTTTTTTTTTTTTACGTCACTTTGTTCCAGTTTTTTGATCCAAATTAACTTACAGGCTTTCAATTTGGCTTGCGGCCAAGGCTTTAGGGGGCTATTTTAGTAACTCCATATGCTTGTGTATGAAAAAGTGTTTTTCTTCTTTTAACGCATGCATAGTGCCTTGCTTTGTTGGAAGAATGCTTTCCCAAACCCAGTTTTTCAGCTAAAGTTTTTTTTGAGAAAGCATATGAGGGAATAATAAGCCTTCTATAAAAATTATTTAAGCAGGTGTCGTGCAGTGGTTAGAGTTCTGGCTCAGAACCGGGAGATTGAGATTCGAAATATTAAATGCGATTTGACAAGTTTAGCTTTGGCAAGTTATATGTTTGTAAGTTTTATATTTTTACTAGTTAGGTTTAATGTTCTTCTTTTTATTAAGATTTATAGTTTTGCATTAATGCTTTTGAGTAATAAATGTGTGTGTGTATGAGGAGTGAGTATGCAAACTTGTAGCAAATGTTTTGATATTCTAATGTGGTTTTTTTATACTTAGTGTTTTACGAGGCATTCTAATCATTTTTACAATAATGTTATTATTTCAAATATTAAGTTTAAGCATCACTTCTTTTTTGGTGCCTTTGATTTTCACTTTAAAGGAACGATTGTAAATAATTTCAAAGTTAAGTTAGTAAGCAGAAATCCTGCGTCCTTGGGAAAGTGGACACAAACAAAAAATTAAAAATCATAAGATAAAATTATAATATTTTTATAATTAATATCTTGATATTGGTACAAGCTAATGTAACATTAATAATAATGACAAAACTGTTATTAAATGCGGGATTTTCGCGGGATTCTATTCCAGACTCTTACCTTCTTTTGCAAAAGACAAAAAAAGTAAATATTAATGTTTGAAGTTTGATTATGTTTTAAAGTTTGCTATTTAAAAACCCAAAAAAATGGTGTTGCCACCCCTGCGAACAATAAATAACCTATTACTGAATAACTTGAAGTTTTATATACGTAGTTAAAATGCCGTAATTAAAAATTTTCCGAAGTATTTATTTCTTTGTTTTGATTTTCTATTAATCTTTTGGCGCATCCGATGTAAAATTTGTAAAGGCTTCATTGAATGAAGTCTTATAAAAATATAGAATGAAGTTCATTCTGTAATTTTGTGAAGCCAAATTAGCTGAATGACTTCAAAACTTTCTTTGACTGTACAAAATAAATACCGGCGTTCTGATTTAAGCCGACACAAATTTGTATTTTTAATCAAAATATTTTTAGTTAAATTGCATTAAATTAATTCATTTTTTTTAACAATAATCTAACTTTACTGTTTAATTAAACATGCTTTATCTGTTGTTTTTTATATTCTTTTTTACTTTTTTTTTCAGTTTACAATCAATAATCGTAATATAACAATATAACAATATATAAACTTGGTGTCTGAAAAAAGATTACAAATATCTTGTTCAAAACCATGTAAAGTATATAATATATATATATATATATATATATATATATATATATATATATATATATATATATGTGTGTGTGTGTGTGTGTGTGTGTGTGTGTGTGTGTGTGTGTGTGTGTGTGTGTGTGTGTGTGTTTCATTAGCACAAAGCGGTCGCTCTCTTTTTATCATGGAGCCTGCATAATCTTTTACTTTTTACAAGTTTAATAATGTAAAAGGGCCGTATTAAGTTGAACCTGTTGGTAAAAAATGTAAAAAATTTTATAGAAAAAAATAGTGCTTTATTATAATATTACAAAATACATCTTAATCTGTTTTATTTTTATTTTTTGTATATTTACACAGTAATTTTTTAGTATTTTACGGAAGCTGAGCGAGTTCTCACCGACGAAGTGTTAAACGAGTCACCCGATGAAGTCTGTTCACAAACTATTATAGCATTAATCTATTAAGTTGGAGTTTAGGGGAATAAAGTCATCCTATAAAAACATTATTTTTACCATTTTTACTTATTGAGAAATATTTACTCATCTGCGGTAAGCTTATATTAAGTTTAAAGCAACGATTGTTAATTTATGAAAATATGAATTTTCAATGTTAAGATGAATGGAAAACTTTTTAACTTGTCAAATTATGTAACTTTAATAACCCGAACTTTATCAAATTACGTTAGTAGCCATTACATTTAGTTTATAGAAAAATTCATTAGAAGTGCGTCAAACATCAATGTGTTTGTATTTATGTTAACATACTGTAAAGTGGATCGGGGCGTGTTGATGAGTCCTTTGATGAGTTACGCATTTTAAATAATTTGTGTTTTATTTTATTTTTTTTAACAAAAATACTTGAGAAGACCTTAGACAATCTAAAAATAACATTACAAAGTTTCATACTCGGTTTTCAATACATACACACACACACACACACATATATATATATATATATATATATATATATATATATATATATATATATATATATATATATATATATATATATATATATATATATATATATATATATATATATATATTAAAGGTCATGTTGCCGGCCAACTTACTCCGTTATCGGGAATTAAAGTAATATTTTTTTGAGTTTTTTTCTTTTACGAAAAGCATAACTTTTGAGTTTTTTTTTTTTTTTGGATTCTTATAAACTTTTTAAGAATAGAAGAAAATAATCAAAAAATTTAAGTTTATTGAAGTTTAAGTAGTCTATTGTATAAAACTTTCTAAATTAAAAACATACAAAACATAAACTACTTATTTATTAATTACCCAATGGTTTTTCTGTTTGTTATTTTCAATGTGGCTTAATACGTTGTATTTTACGTGGACAAAACGTTGTATTTTAAGTTGATTCGAAGTTATATTTTGCGTTTGCACAACTTTATATTAACCTTTTATGAGAATTGAATTTATTTGTTTTATGTTATGCATATACTTAAATACATAAAATATTATATATTTATACGCATATACAATTGTAAATATGTATTTATACATACATCTTTGCGCCATTATGTCGATGAGTAAAAATGGCTTATTACATATATAAATACTAATTATATTGCATCTAAATAAATAATCATTATTCATGTTTGTTTTGCTTGTGGCTTGATATTTCGTTATTTAAAAAAGAGAACAATATTTTAGTAAAATATATTTCCATAATCAACTGAAATATTTAAATGAAAAATAATTCTCATAAATTATATAATTGTATATGGTTTTACATACGTTGGCCCAACAGAAGTGTACTAGCTGGGTATTGCAGTTCTGTCAAATGCCAGTGGGTATAAAAAATTCAAACTTACTGTTAAAAATTTACTTCGGCTCATCAAAAATTGTTTAAAAAGTACCAAAATTCCAAATATGACCTAAAAAAGTTTTTGCTAAATTGTCAAGTCTTTAAACACAATTGATTGGGTCAACCAACCCCTAGCCAACTTTCCTCAACCTACCCTAAGTTCTTTAACTTAATTATTGTAATTATCCCAGTTTATCAAATAAATGATATGATAAAAGATTTATCATATTTACTTAATTAATGATATGATAAAAGACTTGATTACTTAGAAAAACAATACTTATAATTATTTTATATATTCATACAATCATCGTCATTATATAATATATTGAGCAACATAATGCTCAATCGTGTGTGTTTGCACAGAACTCACGGTAGCAATTAAACACGACTTAATGGCGAGAAAAAGTATAACAAATTTATGTAAATATGTAAATATGTAACTTATGTAAATTTATAACAAATTTTCATTTATATTTTATATAAAAATTCCATTTGTAAAGCATTACGTACAAATATCTGTAAGTATAAAATAGTAGGTTAAGTTTAGTTTGCGGATCTTTTATATAACCGTCGTGTATTATATATATTTAAAAAGGTTAATCTTGCATTATGTATAATATATGATGTATGATAACTTTTAGAAATATTCTAATAACTCTTTTTTTTTTTTGCTTAAACTGTTTTCTTCTGTATTTAAAAAAGCGGCAAATAGCGGATAAAACTAAAAAATGTTTTTTTGTTTAGCGGTGAGTTTGAAACCTTGATGTTTTTTTAAAAATATATTTAAACAAACAACTGTTTATTTATTAGATGAAAATTTGGTGAGAAACCAAATTGGTTAGTTTTGAAACCCTTTTTTTTACTATATTACAACTATTATAATATCATTGAGTAAATGTGTTGGCCCAGAATTGGGGAAAAAATTACTCCTCAATAGGGAATGGGTTTTTTGTATTGTAGCTATTGTAATCTCAAGATAGTCTTGAGATAATAAAAAATCATCTCAAGACTATCTTGAGATAATTGAATCTTATCTTTCATATTTAACTGCAAAGATTAAGTATTACAAACATGTTTAATTTTATTGTTGTTATTTTATTTCTTTAGTTCTACTTTGGTATTCAACGATTGGTCTTAGTTTACTTTGTCTACTGTTATTGTATGATTTTAATTTAGTAAATTTTTAATTATTTGAAATTTGCTTTATTGATCATAAGCTAATAGTTTAAAAAATTTTAGTTGCAACCAATTTAAGAATAATTATTTTTTATTGTGACAATTAAAAATTCGTTTGTACAGTAAATTAATATACTTTATTATTTTGTGTAATAGTTCATTGTCTTTGTAATATGCGTCTTTTCTCTCGGACTATTTGTAACAATGCTCTAAAAAAAAACTACAACAAAGGTAAATTGATTTGTAGTCTTTATATGTTATGTCTATACTTTTTTTTATCATATAATAATTGTATTTTTTCATTTTAGATTTATTTTACTTTTTTTTTTTGCATATTGCAGAACATGCAGAGGGCCCTCATTCTATAAAACACATTGGGTTTGACCCAAGTTTGAATTAATTAAGTTACAATAAGCTTTTTCTTAATTGTACCTAGGGCCACTAGCTATTGTACCTAGGGCGGCTCACTAAAAATTAGTTTTATCTCCATAATAAATTGACATCAAAGATCGACACATAAAGTTAATTAAAAACTTTTTAATCTTAGATTGTTTTCAACAAATTTATCCAGTGTAACTTAATTGCCACACTAAAATAAATAGTTCTGAGCAAAATTCACAAATAAGTTATAAAATATTTATTTTTTAATCCTATTTTTATTCTCGAAGACGGCAAGTTAGAATCGGTAAATACTTTTTGATGGTCTAAAGTAAAGTTTGCTGCTAGTAATTTAGATTGTTTTATAATCCTAAAGGATTTTATATTATTTTAATTGTATATTATATTGTATATTATTTTGTTTGTTGCTTAATTAAGCAGCAAACAAAATAATATACAAAAACTTATAGAAAAGCATTTCCTCTAGGATTGTAAAACTATCTAAATTACCAGCAGCAAAACTTTACTTTAGACCATCAAAAAGTGTTTTCCGATTCTAACTTGTCGCAGCAACGCTCTCTGAGAATCAAAATAGAATTAAAAAATAAATATTTTTATAACTAATCACCTGACTGAAAAACATTACTTAGAACTATATAGTTTTAAATAAAGTGGCACTAGGTACAAGGAGGATCTAGGTACACGAACTTACCCTAATTTGTTTCTTTTTCATAACAATTTATGTTTTTTTTTAATGGTCAAAAAGATCTATATTTTGTTCCTTTTTTAAATAATTAATGTTTAGATAACTGTAAAAAAGTGTATTAAATAAAGATTTTTTTATTTTTACATTTTATTATTTGGGTATAATTAAAAAATAATTAAAGAAAGTGGCGGTGTGGAACAGATTTATCAAGACCTGTGTTTTATTGATCCGGACAGCTAAAGATAAATAATAATAATAATACTAATAGTAATAAATAATAATCCTTTTGTTTTTAACTGTATTTTTAAAACGCTTAAAAAAATATTGATTAATAATTTAAATAAAAACTCTTTAGTGCGACGCCTCATTAACTTTATACTCATTTGTACGAAAATAAGCTTGCAAGTTTTTTAAAAAAGAACTTATTTTGCGTTACAACTCAATTTTAAATAAGAGTTTATGTATGAATAATAATAATATAAAAAACATCAGTTGTCCGACTCCGCTGTTGTAAGAAATTAATTATTTAAATATCGTAGTTAAAAATATAAAATAATGACATAAGAATACTCTATTTACGACAGTATTCCGCACTGCTTAATTGCATTGAAAATATAATTTAAATTTCAGAGCACTAAACATTATTCAAATACTTTTATATTTTATTCTATAAACAAAAAGAAGAAAAATATAGATTTTTTAAACGAAGAAAATAAATATCAAATATGTATAAATAAAGAAAAAGAATCGAAATAAAGACATGGTATGTATTTTTTGCTATGATAAGCTTTTAAGATTTGTTATTTTAAACATTCTTGTTATACGTTAAGCCGGTGGCAGCGTCATCCTTTTTTGATTTAATGTTAACTTCCTGACGAGGCACAAATTCTAAATATTTAGATATTTATAATAATGTCAAAAAAAGTGCTTTTCAAAAAAATTTTGATTATTGGAGCCAGAGAACGCGTTTTCTGGTTTGTTGATAATATTAGCTAAGTTTGTAATACTTGTTATTTATATGTTATTTACACGTGATCAGTTACCACAATTTCTTCCACTTAGTTATTTGCATTTACACTGGGCACCTGCTCAATTGTTTCGATAATTACTCAACTGATACTTACTCTAACATAATTTTGTTTTCTGTTTCCCTGAGAGACTTTTGCGGCTCCATAAAGTTGCTAAAAATCCGTAAAATTTTAACCCCTTCTTTATGCCAAACGTAAAAGCAAAGAACTTATGAAACAAAATAACAAGAAAGGTCATTATAACAACAGAGCCAACGACATGGGTTTTGTTGTAGGGGAAGGGAGGGGAGCAAAAATAAAAATTGCTAAAAAAAAGTCCACTACATCATGAAATTTCTGAAAAAAAAAAAAAAGAAACCTCTTCCTTCCTACCCCCTTACCACTGTGCACAATGGGCCAGAATTCACTTTTACTGGACAAAGTTCATAATTAAATTAATATTAGGGCAACATTCACTAAAATTAGTATAGGTATTAATATGATGTCTGAGCTTCAAATTTTTTTGTTTTGTTGCTATTTATACCTTTATTTTGCTTAGCAACAACCTGTTTTTGGTATTTGCAGATATTGTAGGAGTGCTACATTCAGTAAATTTAGCTTGAGTACCAAAATAATATTGTGCTTTTTATGAAAGTGATAATTTTTTTTATTTAGTTGTTATGGATATTTATATTACTTAGTTTAATGTAACTAAGAAATATAAATATCCTTAACAACTATATCCATGTGTATACACATAAATTAATTTTTCGAATAAATTTTATCGGATTTTTGACCCACTTACTTTGAATAACTATTAATTTATTAATTAACTATTAATTATTTAGGTAATTAATTTTTTAGCAATAATAAAAACAAAAGTTTGAAATTTGCGATAAGATTTGAAGTCTTCATTTCTAGTCTTTCAAGCTTACTCTTTGAATTATGTCATGTTCATGTTTCAGGTTTTGAATTATGTCATGTTCATGTTTCAATAAACAGTTCACAGATTGAGCCATGTATAAAAAATAGCATGAATAAAAGGACACATATAGTCTAACAGTTTTAAAACAATAGTCCTTAATTTCTAAGCAGCTTATTTCATATCCTGAAGAGAGTGTTGCCAAGATAATGTAAAATATGAATATAAGGTTTTAAGAACCAGAATTTCAGCTATTTTTTCATAAGCTGCAAAAGAACGTCTTGAAGTATTGCCATCGTTGCTTGATCTAGAATCACCACTTTTGGGGAAATAAACCGCAAGTGCAATTTATTTTCATAAAATCAGTCTCAATCTTTTGTTTCGTACAGATATCTTTTCTTTATGTTCTTTAGATCTTGCTTGCCACTTTCCTGTTTCTGTTACATACAATGTACACATTCATCTCAAGAAATTGAATCAATGCATGGAGATTGGAAAGACAATATTTGAATTCTCTGCGAGTATAATCTATATTAAGGATATCAAGACTATTCAAACTTTTTGGAGAGACACCACATACTAAACAGCGTTGATATGAGTTAGTTTTTCCAGATAATATTATTTGATATTCAGATTCCGTTTTGTAAGCAAATTTTAAGGGTCTACTATAGGCTTTGAATGAATTTTGATTTCAAATAGACATCTTTAATTGCTTTTGTTAAATCTAGTTAAAGTAATAAATAGAGATTCTTCACGTTTTAAATTTCTGTTTAAATCAAGTTCTGACAAAACTTGTTTATAAATACCAGTATGTTTACAAATGGCCAGTAGCACAATAAAAACTAACCTTACACGCAAGTGTCATAGTTTTTATTGGTATGTTGTTTAATATTAAGTAACTCAGCATAAGTTCATGAACTGCACAGGTTCTTTGCAAAGAATGAATTATTAAATCTTTTAAAGGAACTAAAGCTAAACAGTCCCCACTCTGTTATATTTGCAGGATAACATTTCAACCTCGCATGTGGGGTAGAAGTTATATTCTTTCTCCAAGGCTCTACTTCTAATCAATTAATAGGAAGCTTTTTTCAGAGTGGCGTGAATTATTATTATTTAACTTTTCTTTTCTTAAATAAATTTTTTTTTAATATTTATACTATTTATCTAAAAATGTTAAGAGGAAATTAGAGCAATTGTAAAATAATAATTTGTGATTCCTAAATTTATTTCAAACTGATTTGATTTTTTAAATTTATTTCGATTAAAAAAGGATTAAAGTTTTGAATAAAAAAGTGAAATTTTATGAATTAAAATACTTTTTAATAAACAAAGCCTCGTAAAAAAACTTTTGTAAGTATTTTATGTTTGAATTATCTTTAACTTATTAGGGACTTTTGACTTGCATTTTAACTTTTATTGCACACATTGGCTTATGCTTTTGCCCTTTTTACAAATGGCGGACTATATTTATAAACACAAAAAAAAGCGGCTTCAAGTTTGGTCCAATAAAATCCCGCAAGTTAGACATGTACTAACTTTGTCTTTTGACAACGCAAATGTAACTGAAATATCACACAACGATGTCACCAAAATTACTTATTTATAATTATAATTTTTTTTTTCAAATTTCAGTATTTATATACTCAGAGTCCTGGTAACTAAGAGATTTATTAGAAATCAATTATTAATAAATTTCTCTTATATAGAAACTATATAGAAACTAAAACTATAAACTAAAACTAAAATTATATAACTAAAAAATATATAGAAACTAAAATTGAATAAGTTTTCAATATTAGAAAACTAAAAAACTATTTTGTCACCTACTGGCCCACTGATAAGTATTTTGTCACCTACTAGCCCACTGAATATGACAATAGAATTTAACTAGAAAACGGATAGAAAATTAAAATTAAGAGCAGAATTTATTTTCATGAGAACTACAATTTAATATAAAAAGACGAAGACCAAGAAAAGACGAAGACCAAGAAAAGACGAAGACCAAGAAAGACTACCAGAGAAGAAGTTAGAAGGCTCAGATGAAATTAACCCTTTATCAATATGAAGAGTTGTCGAACAGTAGTTCGAGTGTTGGCTTCAGAATCAAAAAATTTGAGATTTAATATACGCTCTGGCCATATATAAGACATCAGTAAAGAATGTTTTCACAGGAGTAAAATAACATTCCATATTTCAGCTATTAAAAAGTAATGCATTTTTATCAAAACTAGAAAATATAGTGATGTCATTAATAAATCCACATTAAAAATAAGAAAACTTTGAAAAATATTAGAATGAAGTAACAGATCGTATTGTTAAACTATGATGTTCATTTCACCTTAACGACGTATTTATTTAAAATCTTATTGAAATCTGGACAAACAATTACGAATTTTAGGTAGTTCGAAAAACAAAACAAAATATTTTTGTTGTGGTTTTTTTTACTGTGTAATTTTTTAAAATCGCCTTAACTACACCATGGAAGATAATCAAGCCGCAAACATTACAGCAACTTTAAGTCGTTTCAGAAGTATGCTTATAACCGACAATAAAAAAAAAGAGTTTCACTCTAGAGTGACTTCACAGTGAAAGCCAATTGTTTCTCAATACGAGTATAATATAACAAAAAAATGCATTTAACAAATTGCATAAACCAGGGGTCGACAACCTTGAGTGGTTTAAGTAAATTGTTTTAATATTGATTGATCTTTTATGGAAATAATATGCTTAATTAGTTAAAAAACACTTATAAACACATTAAAATAAACTTTTCAAATTTTATTTAAATGTTATACAGTTAATTCCCGATAAGTCGAACTTCCAAGGGGCTGAGGAGGATGTCTCGACGTAACAAATATTAGACTAAAGCGAATTCCCGTAAAGTCAAACTTTGTCTGAAATGAGGTATTAGTTTGAGTTAAGGTGATTTTTTGATTCAATGCTAAGTTAAGACGATTTTTATTTATTCAATGCTAAAGCATAAACGTTAAAAAACGGTAAGCACTCACTATTCACTCTTGATTTAAATAATTGTGTTCTTATAAAACTTGTAAACTCTAGCCAAAGCAATACAAATAAAAAAATGTTTAACAAAGACATTGCTTTTTGCTATTATCTTGATTGAGAACAACAAAGCAAATCGACAAAAAATAGAAGAACATAAACAACTATTATAATTTTTAAAACTGATGGTATTACAAAAGATATGAAATAAAATTTTTCTAAATCAACCGCAAAATCATTTTTTGAATAATATCTGTAACATCTTTTTAAACAACAATTAACGTCTTTATAAACATTTGCTGAATATTGATGCTGAATTAAATTATAGCGATATAATTACCTTTTATATTTCATTTTACAACATCTTTGTTGCGTTACTTTTACCTTTCACTAGGGATCGCGGCGATCGGTTTTATCTGAAAGGACCAAAAATCTTTTCTAATATTGCTCACAAAAAGTTAAAAAGCGTGGAAAACCTCTCTAAAAGTTCTAGAACTCTACTTTTTACCATAAAAAGTTTGCTTTAATATCTAATTTAACAGAGAAACAATAAAAACAACAGCAAAGTTTACCATTTATTTTACCTAAGAAATTCCTTGAAGATAAAAAAATTTAGAAAATTATAAAATCAGAAACATTAAATTATGAAGAAATAATTTTTGAACAACATTCGTTTTTCTTGCGTCAACAACTTTAGCACACTTACCACTACTTCCAAATTGATGGGTTCTATTTCAAAGGTTGTTAGAAATATTTGACACTCTGAAGCTCATGAATCAGCATCAAAGTTAAAATGCGTCTCCAGTACATTCAATTCATTAGTTACAAAACTGTTTGCTTGCTGCTTTTAAAAAAAACTGCTCAGCTGGTAAAAACAGTTTGACGGATTAACACTGTGGAACAAAATTTCTGCAATTTAAAAGACGTTAGGTGATTTTATAAATATCGAAGCTGCTGATTTCAAATATGTTGTCAGGATATTGAGTAATGTAACAATTTTTGCAGAGAATTATATTTTTTCTAATTATTTTGTTGTTATTTGTCATGAAGCTACTTTTATAGCTGTAATGGCAGTTTTCCACCTTAAATGGCTCTGGGTTTGTTTGAACACCACATTTTGGTTAATAATATTATCAGAAACTGCTAACTTCATTGGCTAATAATGTAAGCAGCAGTTAGCCGCATAGGAAAACATTTTGATAACTAATTAAATTTTATTAAGTGCTTTGTCAGCTCTTTTTTTTAACATCTTCATTTCCAACAAGGCTGCGAGCAACCACTATTAGAGTTTGAAGTTACTGGAAGAGAAAAGATGAAGTTTATTAAGCGAAATAGCGATTAACAGACAACTTGAAAGATTGCAAACTGTATAAACTAGGAAAACAAAATAAAGAGAGCGAATACCATAGAACTGATGTTGGAGGAAAAAAAAACTAGACAAATAAAATTTTTTTGAGCACTCAGAAACAATTAAAGGATGAGACAAATGAAGACGAGAGAAAGATTGAATAATGCGTAATACGAGAATAAATTTTAGTAGGTAGCACAACAGACGTTAGTTCTTTAGAGCAGTGCTCATTATAGTATTTATAGAGAAAAGAAAAAAAAGGTTTAACTATGTTTACAATGCGTTTTTGCACCTTGTCTAAAAGAGAAAAAACATCATTCAAAGCTCCGCTTCAGATATGGCAACAGTATTCCATTCAAGGACAGATTTGAAATTTATAGAGATAAAAAATAGAACACTGAAAAAGAAAGTGGAGAGTAAGATAAAAAGATGCAATCGAAACAAATGTTAAATTTGCAATGGATTTAATATATGGTTTCCAAGAAAGATTAAATTAAGAATTATTCCTAGTCGACGAAGAATAGATGACTCATCGAGTACTATTCAAAATTGTTGATCTATTACTAATCTAAATCTAAATCTAAATTTTTTATAACTATATTTTTTATATTTTATATTTTTTATCCTTTTCAAGCTCAAATGCCCCTTCTGAGCAATCAAAAAAAGAGTGCTGTTCATCGAGGATAACTTTTATACTACGATTGGTAAGGAAAGATTCACCAATCTTAAAATGTTACCTGATACTCCGAAAAAAAAGAAGCCTTAATCTCTCCAGATCTGTTTAATGCACGATAAATTCTATTGATTATTACCGTTTACAAATGAGCTGTAGAACAAGAAGATCGAAATCCATATTGATGATCAAAAAGTAAGCTATTAAATTCAAGATGAGAGATAAGAAGTGTTTTTTAATTGTAGATTCAAAAACATTGCTTATGATAGAAAAAAGTCAGCAGTTAGATACAAAACTATAAAAGGTATGTTGTCCACACCACAAGCTGTAGAAGAGTCTAAGCAGGAAATCACATCAGGTAATAGAAATGTCAAACAATGGATCAACCTTTTGTCGGCTATATCTGGTAGGATATGATTAGTGGAAACAAGAGATGAGGTTGATGAAAAGTTCTCAGCAAATAATTCAGCTTTTTCTTTAGGTGAGGTAAGTGGTAGCTTTATAAGTTAATAATTAAAATTTTGTTCTTACATCACAATGTCATTAAAGTGGGAGCTTTATAAGTTAGTTATTAAAATTTGTTCATACAGCACATTGTCAGTGAAGTGGGAGCCTAATAATTTAATAATTAAAAACTGACTACAAATTTATTACACGTGTTTAGCTAAAATGAAAAATTTAATTCGTCTAAAAAGATGGCTGCGAGACGCAGATGCATAATACAATTTGACAGTTTATGTTATGTTTGTGGGCTATAAAACTATAAAACTCACCCCTTTTGTCAAATTTGCTTATAATGCTTACTTTAGTATGAAGCTTGGAAACTAGAATAAGAAATGGGCACCACATCATTTGTGTGTCATGCTACTCGAACTTGACGCAGTGAAAAAAATAAATTTGTTGTTTGCAATTCCCATGGTTTGGACAGAACCAAAAGACCAGATTGCTTTTTTTGCATGACAAAGACAGCAGGATTTACTGGTAAATTTTTCTGTCTTTGTAATGCAAAAGTAGCTTATTAAATGATAGATTTTATATCCTAATCAGAGGCGGATTAAGACTTCTTGGGGTCTGGGCCTATTTTTGTTTTTGGAGGCCTTTTTTTGGGCCAGAGCCTAAAAATGACAATAAAAATAAAAAAAAAAAAAAAAAAAAAGTCCTCTAAAATTATTTGGGGCCCCTAAATTTGCGGAACCTTAGGTTTTAGTCCCCCTTGCCCCCCTTGATCCACTGGCTTCAGTCTGAAGCTTCTGAATTCCTGCATTTAACCCGATATGAATTATTTCTGCATTTAACACGGATTAAAGTTTCCGCATTCCGCCTTTTTTTTTTTAAATAATTTAATGCGGGAAATTTAAAATATTTTAATTTAACTCAAAAAAATTATCTTTTCAAAAAATATGTTTTTGTTTATTTTTTAGAAAAATTTGCTGGCCTTATTATTGTTTTGTGCTGGATTTAGTTCAGGTAAAAGTTTTATGAGAATTGTTTAGTGCAGTTTTTACTTTTTGTATACTTTTTTTTTTATTTACTTGTTTTTGACGACGATTTGTAAAAAAAGTCGTTATTTTAGAATGCAATACGATTGTAGTACATTTAAAAAAAACAGTACTCAAGGCAAAAATTATTCTTGGCCTCAAGATTCTATAGTAAACTCATAAGCTACAAATAATATTGCTTTAATTAGGGGTCTAAATTTATATTAATAGTCATTTATTTCTCATATTGAAATCACTACCTACATATTTTACATATTTTCTCATGATGTGCACATTTATTTTTACATGATTAGCACAATTAATTAAGTTTTCACATGATGTGCAAATTTATTATGATAAATTCTATTGGTTATTACCGTATTATTTTATTAATTTATCACATGTTATTTTTTGGAAAAATTTGGAATAATATCAAATAATATGGTATTTTATTTGATGATTTTATATATATTATATACCAATATATTATTTATTGGCATAAAAGTATAAAAAATATCTAACTATAGTCTATATTAATATGTATTATGTATAATATTCTATAGTATAGAGTATTAAACAAAGTGGAAACAAAAATTGATCATGTTTTAGACATCAGCTTGGCAAATAAATTACTAGAGTGTCTAAAGTGTAGTGTAAAGATATTGAAATCTTGGCTATCATGTTTAGCAAGATACATACCATCATCTTTACCAATCGAGTTTGTAAAAATTGGAATTTCTTACCAAATGAAATCATTGAAGCAAGATCGTTAAATGTTTACAAAGTGCAAATAGATAAATTTTTTTTATAACGATGCTTGCATCTCGTTCCACAATTTATTTTATTTTTAAATATTTAAACAAATTTGTAATTGTTACAGCAATAAATATTACTATTACTACTATAAGATGTTATAGTTAAACTATCAGTTACCTTGAATACCAACTTACCTAAACTATCTTGTATATGCAGTGATTGGATGTATTAAATATTATTGCATTAATTTATTTTTAGTAAACTGTAAATATTTTTTTATGAAAAAGTCTTTAATTTTTAAAATATAGAAAAATTTAGGTAAAAATTTTCAAGTAATATTTCTTCTATTTAAATTCTTAAACTTTTAAATGTTAAAAGTTCTTCAAGTAAATTTTTTCAAAAGTTACATACACTTGATTTTATTACATTTTACAACATTTTATTTTAGAATTTTAATTTCTGAGATAAAATGTTATAAGTTTTATGTTTAAATAAATAAAGTTAAAATTTAGGTCAAAATTGTTAACATATAAAACATAAAATAGTTTATCTTAATTTGAAAATGAGAAAAAGTTTTTAAAAAAATATAAAGAAATGACCATTTAAAGAATCAGTATTTTTTTAAATTTTTGTAGTCTATTTATTTTTTCCCCAAAAAAAGATTCAATTTAGCTTTTGCACATTTTAAAATTATTAACATAGACATATATTTTTTTAGTTAAGATTTTTTAGGGAATAGTTTGCAAGCAGAAGTTTACAAGAATGATTTACAAGCAAAATTAAATGCGACGTTAACTTTTTTTGAAAGGGTATATTTGTTGTTAAAAAATCTTGCCTTCAAATTTTCTTATAGTATATTTTTGTTTCATTATACAAATAATTTAAGTTTCTCTCTGGTGTTTTTATATAAAAATAATATTGCTTTGAATTGAATTTTTTCTCAAAAAAATCAGCTTGGATTATATAGTTAGCATAATGTGCTGTAAAAGCTATGCTTGTTTAAATAATTTAACATATTCATTTGCAGAATTTAAGCTTTTTTTTTTTTATTTGCATTCACTCCCAACAAGGCTGCAAGCAATCACTATTAAATTGGGAGTTACTAGGAAAAAAAAAAGAACAGAGTTATAGAGCAAGGAAACGGTTGACAGAAGACTTGAAAAGTTGAAGGTTGTATGAGTCAGGAAAACATGAAGATGGGAGAGAGTTCCAAAGGATTGAAGTGCAGGAAAAAAACTAGATGAATAAAAGTTTTTAGAGCATGCAGGGACAGATACAGTAAATGAATGAGACTTAGCTGAATGACGAGTAAAACGAGAATGAATTTTAGTTGATGGAACTAGAGATGATAACTCCTTTGAGCAGTGACTATGATAGTCTGTAGAATAGAGAAAGAGATGCAACTTTACGACGATGGGAAAGAGGTTCAAGCTTAGCAGATAGTCCAGGTCCAACAACATTTACAATGCGTTTTTGGACCTTGTCAAGAAGAGAAAGTGAATCGTTAGAAGAACCAACCCAAATATGACAACAGTATTCCATACAGGGACAAATAAGAGATTTGTAGAGGTAGAGAATGGAATCAGAAGTAAGGAAATGGCGAGCACGATAAAGAGAAGCAACCTTAGCAGAAGCTAATTTAGCAATCGATTGTATATATGGATTCCATGAAAGGTCAGTAGTAAGCGATAATCCAAGAAGACGTAAAGAGGAGGACTCAGTAAGAGGATTGCCATTCATTAATATAGTTTTACCTTAATTGGCAAATTTTTTTAAAAAGTTTAAAAAAGTTATTGTTTTTAATAACAACAATTTTTGGAAATCAACTAAACTTTTTCGAAGTAAAAAAACTAAGATTTTAAAACAATAGTTTGAAAGAGACATTTTTAAAGTTTTTCAAAAATGTGTTCTTTTAGAAGGTTTTATTAAAAATAAGATTGTTGTTTGTAAAATTTCTTTAAAATTTCACATGTTTTAAATCCCAACTTGAGTATATATTTACAAAACTTTGGAAGAAATTTTTGGTAATATACAATATATGTATATTAACCCCTATTCATCCCCATTTTAGTATGACAAATAAAATTCTTGTGTAGTAATCTAGTAATCTTATGTGTATAATATGTAAAATATTTAATTAAATTATGTACTCATTTTGATTTATTTCAAATAATTATGTGAATATAAATATGCAAGTTTTATAAAAAATATCAATGAAATATATTTTTTTAATTTTAAATGTTTTATTTATTTTTTACATTTTTTAACTTTTTGTCTTATAATTTTTTTTTAAAGTTTTATTAGGTTGTACTGAAGATATTACTACAGACTATCAATTGACAACAAGTGGTTATCATGTTGAATCTAATGTCTCATGTATAAGTGTTTGCAATTCTTATAATCCATCAGTTTTTCTTTTTGCTTTTTTTTTTGAAAATCAGCTTTGTTTCTGCAGTAATGCTTCACTTCCACAGCTAAATATATTTACAAACAATACTTGTTTTGAAAATACATGCTTAAATGGCAACAGCAGTACTGATTGCATTTTCAGTTATCAAGTTTTTCCACTCACATTAGGTATTATTGAAAGAAATATAATTTTTAGTCCCAAGATTGCTGTTGTTGATAATGAAGTTCAGATACAGACAAATGTGGTGAAAGGTAATATATATATATTATTTTCTTCTTTTTATTTTCTTATTTATTAAACATATCATTATCCTTAGAAGAAAAGCTTACAACATGTTTAGTAATAAAAAAAAGTTTTTAGTATTTTTAACTTCTGTTTTATAACTTTAAATTAAAAGTTTTGTTATGGAAAATTTTGTTTTGATTTGGTTAGTGTTTAAAAAGAATTAAAGTTATTTACATTTTATAAACTTGGAAACAAAAGAAGCATTTTTTACATTAGGATTCCTTTACAATATTCAATAAATTATCTTGTTATATCAAATAATTATCTTGTTATATTAAGTAATAAATGTTTTTTAATACTAAAGTGATAGGATATAAAAAATTTTTCTCACATTCTTCATTATAGTTCTTTTTAGTCAATTAAAACTCTTCAATACACTAAATTTAAAAAAATTATAGCAACTAGGAACACTGATATGGATTCTTATATTGATAAATTAAAAGATATTTTTGATAAATTAAAAGATATTTTTTTACCACTTCCAGCGTTTGTTGTATGAAAGTAAACATCAAAAAGTACAATTTCACCAATAAAAATATCAAAGAGTGCAATTCCACCATTAAAAATAGCCAAGGGGGCAATTTCACTATTAAAAGTATCAAAGGGTGAAATTCCACCATTAAAAAAAGTTTTTATTTTTTTATTTTCAAATCATTCTTTACAACAAAGAAATGATCTTTAAATCATTTCTTCAACCTTAATAAATAGATTTGTTAAGTAATAAGTTGTTTTGTTATATTAAGTAATAAATGGTATATATAGCAACCAACAAATGTTTTCATTTATGTTACGGAAGATATAATATTCCTACTCATCCTTATTCATTAAACTTCGTTATCAATATTGAAACTGTTTAATCAATTCAGGATGTTGGAATCACCATGTCCTTTGATACAAAGTTCTCTAATGACTGCTCTCGTATTTCAAGCATAGCATACTCTTGCATTTACTTTTAAAATCCTTCAACTCTAACAATTCTTAACTTTTGTTAAAAGCTTACAAAATTTATTTTATTTAAATTGTCACACAGTCTACTATCTTGGTTTTTTACACATTTACTCATATTGAGTTTTCTTTTTTTGTTTTTTTGGTGTTACATAACAGTAATTTAGTAAGTACCTGTCTCACCATTTTGTATTTTGTACATTTTTTAAATACAAATAAATAAATAAATAAAATAAATATTTTAAATAACAAAAGGGGTTAAATAATAAATGATTTATGTTAAGTAATAAATAGTTTTATAATATTCGCCCTTTTATCACTTTGCCGACTAGAATTACTGATCACTCTGCTACAATTATTGATAATATTTTCTCTAGTTTAATAGCTAATGAAATTGTTTCAGGAAATTTGACAACTTCTGTTTCTGATTACTTTTTCTCAATTTTGTATTTGTCCCAATTTCAATAAATTATTTATACCACGCAGACACAATTTATATAGCAGGAGTTTTAAAAACTTTAATAAAGAAAACTTTAAATATGATTTATCAAAAATTGACTGGGACGATATTACTAAGTCCAATGATACAAACACATGTTTCCAAACGTTTATTATTGAAACAGCATTTATTTTAGATCGTTACGCCCCACTTAAAAAAATCAGTATAAAAAACTTTAAACGTCAATTCAAACCATGGATTACAAAAGGAATTATAAAATCTATTCAAGTGCGCAATCTTTTCCAAAAAAAAATGTTAAGATCTTATTAATAAAAAAAATTTGAAAGTATTTTTAAAAGATATAAATATGTGATAGTTACATTAATTAAACTTAGTACAAAAAACCATTTAAAAATTTTTTTCTCAGAAAATGTAAAAAATCTTCGCGAACTTTGGAAAGGTATTAACACTCTAATTAATCTAAAAAATTTGAATAAATCATCTCCCAACTGTTTGCAAGAAATTTATACATATACTAACCCAACTTTAATCTCTGAATCATTTAACAATTTTTTACAAATGTTGCTCAAACTCAAATCCAATATTCATTCATCTTACATTAACTATCAAAAATATCTTAAACATCCAAATTTACATAGTTTTTTATTATCTCCAACAAATATTTCTGAAATTTCATCTCTTATATCTAAATTGAATCTAAAAACATCATTAGGTCCAAACAGCATTCCCACAAATATTCTAATAGATTTTAACTAAGATTTTTCAAATATTCTATCTAAACTATTTAATATCTCATTTATAAATGGAAAATTTCCTGATATTTTGAAATTATTTTGTGTTATTCCAATATTTAAAAATGGCTCTAAACTTTCATGCACTACCTACAGACCTATTTCTCTTTTATCTAATATTAGTAAGCTTCTTGAAAAACTTATGTATTCTAGAGTGTACTCTTTTCTAAACTCATTTAATTGTTTAAATGATTTTCAATTTGGTTTTTGATCAAAACATTCTACTTGCCATGCATTAATAAGTATAACAGAAAAAATCAGGAAAACTCTTAATACTAGTTATTTCGTTTGTGGTGTTTTTATTGATTTACAAAAAGCTTTCGATACTGTTGACCATATTCTTTTGATTTCTAAATTAAAACATTATGGAACTCATGGTATTGTAAATGATCTTATTTTGCAGACCGAAAACAATTTGTAAGTATTAATGGTTTCAATTGCAGTTATAAGTCAGTTTTGTGTGGTGTTTCTTAAGGTTCTGTTCTAGGTCCTCTTTTGTTTTTAATCCACGTTAACAACCTTATCAACTCTGTTCACTTCTCTTCAGTCCATCTGTTTGCTGATGATACAAATCTCTTGCACATCAACAAATCGTATCATTCTTTATGTAAAAATGTTAGTTCAGATCTAAAAGGTATAGTTCACTGGTTAAATGCTATCCTAATATGGCTCAACACTGAAAAAACTGAACTAATTTTTTTTTCATCTCCAAGAAAAAATAATTTCTTTAAAAATGTTAAAATCAAAATCAAAATTAATAATAAACGGCTATATCCTTCAAGAATTATTAAATATCTTGGTGTATTAATTGTTTGTAATCTTTCATGGAACTTTCATATTGATGAACTAAGCAAGAAACTCGAGCTAATAGTATGCTTTCAATAATTCGTTATTATGTCAATAAAGTTACACTTAGGAGTATTTACTATGCATTATTCTCATCTCATCTTAGCTATTGTTGTCAAGTTTGGGGTCAAGTTGGAAACTATCGCATTAACAAGTTGCTATCGTCTCAGCGTCAATCGATCAGATTAATAAACTTCCAACCAATTAAATCAGATACATCAAAGTCTTTCAAAAATATTTTTATTCCAACATTTCCAGCACTAGTAAAGTATGCTGATCTTCTTTTTGTTTTTGACTCCTTAAATAAAAATATACCATCTCCTATCTCCACAAACTTGTTCACAGAAAGTAGACTGTTACATTCCTATACGACTAGAAATATACACAATGGAAAACTAAATGTACCATCTTTTAAAATTCAAAAGTATGGTAAACGTTCTATTGTTTATCAGTGCGTCTGTGAATGGAACAGGAGCCTTGCATGCATTTTGAATGCGTCTAAAAAAATATATCCTAAAATACCTTTACTCCTTCTTAAACAATATCGATTTAAAAAAATTCTAAAAAACATTTTATTCTAACTTTTTGGCATTATTATCTTTATGATTTAAATATTGTTTTAGTTTTCTTTTTGTAATTATTGCAATTATCATCAGCACTTTTTTATTTATTTTTATTAGTAAAACCTGCAAATTGATTTCTACATGTTTGTTTTGATGTATATTTTATGTGCTTTGGTTTGTGTGTTTACGATCCATGTGTTTCAGTGTGTGTTTTTGCTTATTATTACTTATATTATATTAAAAATTGGTGTCACTCCTTTTATCAGATTTCTGTATGAGTGACACCATCCTAATAAATCATTAACTTATTATTATATTAATATTAGTTATTATTATTATTTTTTTGTTGTAATTTTTGTAGACATACTTATTATTACTATTACTATAATTTGTATAATTATTATTTTTATCTTATGTTATTATTATATATTTTTGCTATTATTTCTATTATTATTATTATTATTATCATTATTATCAAAACTATTGTAAAATAATTTACGGTAAATAAATAGCTTGTTGTTGTTGTTGTTGTTGTTAGTTTATTATTTATCAAATTAATATAAGTAATATAAGTAATAAGTAATATATGGTAATATTTAGTAATGGTTTGCACAACTCTATTTTTTACATAACCTTATTAGTAGATTAATAGAAAAAATATTATTTATATACTTAATAAATTAGTTGAAATAAGATCAAATCAATTTGATATTATTGTTTATGATGGAATTTATATTTAAAAAAATTTATAGGAGGCGCTTCAAGTGCATATGTGATACCAATACCTAATGATTTACCACCCTTGGTTCAAACTGTTAAAGGTATGACTGTTAATACGCATTTTTATTTACCTGGTCTACACAAGTGGACTCAAACAATAGGAAATAGCTATGCAGATCCATTTAATACAACAAGTTGGTTGCAAGTTAATGAAGGTGTTGGTGGTGTAAATATAATCCCTTCAACTGATATGGTTAATGGGGTGTACAATTTCTTTTTGACTATTACGAAAGGCACAAACCTTAATGTAAATATAATGCTACCAATGAATGAAAATTTGAACTTTACTACTGGTATGTAAACTTTTTTGTTTAGATTTATTTTTAATCATTTTAAAATGCTTTACAGTACAATAATTATGTAATAAGACCAGGTAGAGACTGCTATAAGTTCTATTTAGTTTGATTAGTACATCATAAGTAAAACAAAATTTCTTGACACAAATATAAATAATTGCAAATAAATGTAATGAGTGTAATGGCATTAATCGATTTGAATGATATTTCAAATAAAACTAAAAACATGTTTTCTTTAATTGGTTCTATTCATAAAAATTTTTATTAATTTTTAACTGAAATACAATTATTCCTACTAAATAGTGTGAAACTAAAAATCTATTCTAAAATCAAAAAATATGATTTTTAAGAAATTAATTTTTTTTTAAAAAGTTAAGAGAAACAAAATACTGTTTTGAAAAAAACTTTCCTTCTCGAAATTAGTAGTGTAAAAGAGTTTTTAACTTTAAAAAATTAAAAGATTTTTAGCCATAAATGTTGCAAAAAATAAATTTTAAATGTTTTTAAAAATATTTTTCATATTTTAAAAGTGAATTTTGGTCCTTTTTTAATAATTTTTATGTTTAATGTTTATTATCAATTTGTTTAATTAGTATATCTTTTATTTTTGTTTTAAAAATTAGACATTATGCGTTTGTCATTTGGGTATGATTTGGCATCTTTATATACATCTCAAGCAACATCTTGCTCTCTTGAACCTGGTTTTGTTTTAAAACAAGTTGTTTTAACTTCTGGTTATTTAACAAAGTTAAAGTTGAATGTTTTTGCTAAAGGAACTTTAGAAGTTGCTGTAAATATTTTTATCTATTACTCTATAGAACTTAAGAGTTTTATCAACTGTTACTAATGTAACCTTAAATGTTATTTTTACCATTCAAAGGATAAGGGGTCACTAAATTCTTTTTTTAAAATAGTTGTAATAACCTCTACAATTACAAAATAATAGCCTTAGCAAACAAAGCTGCTTTGTGAAAAAAAAACAAGTTGATATATATATATATATATATATATATATATATATATATATATATATATATATATATATATATATATATATATATATATAGACACACATTAGATATGTACCGAAGCCAGGTTAAGTTTTTGCCGAAGCATTAGCTTCTGTGAGTTTTTTTTAGATAATTAAAGGTAATAAGCTACTGTTATATTAAACATAAAATAATTTTATTGTTTACAACATAATTAATTTATATTACAATTATACTACTTGTAATATGCTCCTTTACTTTGATTCCTTGACATATGCCTCGGCATACATAGTATACATTATGAAATTGCTAACTATATTGTTTTTTATTTTTGTTTGCCCGCTTATCAAAATTAGGTGTTGCTTTTTTATACTTTATTTAAGTTCTATGTTTAGTTTAATCCGTTGTTGTATTTATTAAAACCTATTTTCATTGTAATTTGTAGGAGAGAGTGGGAAAAAGTAGGACACAAATTTTTTTAGGGTAATTGCAGTATCTTTTTTATTTGATGAATAAACTGAACTAAACAAGTTTTTACAAATAAACTTTCTTTTTAGGCACCGATTCAATCCTCTTAGGTTTCCAGCCAATTATAACTAAGTATATAAATTTTTTCTTTATAAGAAACCGTGCCATTCGGGTAAAGTCGTACAAGTGTGAGTTAAAGTGGGACAAATAAATTTAAAACAACATTTTAACACAAATTATTGAATAGAAACTAATAAAATCATAAAATCACCAAATTGACATAAAAATGTTCAAGAGCTTTCACCAGTTGAAATAACTTAAAATAAATCAAAATAAATAAATGGCGACAGGAAGAATCAGGGCATAAATATTTATTTTTTCTGTCCCATTTCAGCCAAATGTAAACACTTTTTTAAGGTGCATTTCAAAATTAGGGCTTCTAGTGCATGCAGGGAAACAAAGCGATTTCTGCTAAATAGAGGGGAGAAATTTAACTGTTTATATCAATCTACAGTGTTTAGGCACCATTCCTAATTAGAAATTTCAGGCTGTCCCACTTCTCTCTATTCTCCCCTGTTTAGTTTTTTTTGTGCTTGAAATGTATGCTAGAAAAATTATTTCTTATCACCACTCGAAAAGAAGCAGATAATTTACAGAAAACCAATGGCAGCATGTTGAAATAATTTTATGCATACTAAAAGACTTTAAAAGCATTACAAAATTTGCTTGCTTGTTGTAAATGATCATTTACAGCAACCAAAAGAAATCAATTTGCTTAAAGACTTTAATCGTGATAGTGGAATAAAAAAAAAAGAAAAAGTAAATATGGACATATACAACTTCTTCGACCAAATGGGTATAAATGAAAATGCTTCACAGAAATGTGAAAACACTGATGGAGGGAAAAAAAGTATAATAGTAAAAATACTAGATGAAAAACTCAAAATTTAAAAGAAAAATGGTATGAATAAAAAGTTATTAAAAATCTAAATAAAATTGTTATTTTCTTATTTTATTACAAATTTAATTCAAAATGATGTTAATTTTCAAATTAATAATCTTGTTGCATTCCATTACTAGAAATTTATTTACAAGTTTATTTGCACACTAGAATTGCCTGTAGACAAAATTATATTATATTTTTATTTTAGAAAGATACTGCAAGCAGGATATAGAAAGACCGTGTCTTCCTGTAGTTACGGGCCTGGTTGCATCTAATATTTTTAATTTTCCATGCACAGCATAATTATTTATCAACTATTATTCGTTATTATATATAAGTTTATTCGTTATTATATATAAGTTGAATAAGAGTATTCTGTTTTCCTTACTTGATTAAAGATTCAAAATATTAGTTTAAACTTTAAATTGATTCATCAATTGGTTCACTTCTGCTTCTGCAGAGAACCTCTGCTCAGCACAACAGGAAACATATTTAAAGCCAAAAGAAACAGGCTGTTGCCTGAGCATGAAGAACAGATTACGTTTTTTAATTATAATTTGCCTGACTTCTAACAATAGATAAATAATTTAAACGCAATATACTAATAAGTATAATAAAAATAACTTTCCTCGTTTGTAATTAGTAATTACTAAACAGTAATTTTATTATACTTCAAAGTATACTAAACATTTTTTATAATATAGTTTTAAAGTTTAGACTTGAATAAGTTGACAAGAAGCCAAATTAGTTTTATAATTCACACCCTAATTCAACAACTAGTTTGTAATTAGTAATTACTAATTAGCTAGTTATTTTTTTTCCATATAACATTAAACTTGTTCAAACAAGGCTTAATTATATCCTAAAATCCTATAACATTGTGTAATTAAAAAAAAAAACCTTGATGATTTGTTATAGTAAAATACCTTGTGCGCTAAATACTTATAATTGCAGTATATATATTTTGCAATATGCAGTACATATAATAACTGGAGTAAAATGTTAAAAAATGTTTTTCAGCAGTTAATATTATTCCTAGATCTGCAAGATAGCAAATGTTTTCTATGTAAGTGCAAAAGCTTTGGCTTCGGCAAAGTGACTTCAGCCGAAGCTTCGGCTTCGGCTGAAGTCACGTTGCCGATCTATACTTAACTAAATCTTAACTTCGATACATCCCTAATATATATATATATATATATATATATATATATATATATATATATATATATATATATATATATATATATATATATATATATATATATATATATATATATATATATATATATATATATATATATATATATATATATATATAAATATATAAAATAGAGGAACAACGAGTGAAAAAAAGAAAACTAAGTTAATTTATATTATATATTAATTTAATTTTTTTTAAATGTTATAGATTCTGCGACCAAAAAGCTCAAGTTTTTTCAAAGTATCATTAGTAAACCAATCTCAAATGTTAAATACACCTAAAATAGTAACAGCTTTGGTTGTCAAACGTAAGTGATGTAATATTTGTTTATATCTTGATATAAACCTTGGTGTTATGATGCCAATTATGACTGGCTATAATTAAAAATTGATTTGCTATAAAGCAGCAGTTTCAGATGATTTGAAAAAATAATTATGATGGTGACTAGTTGTTTTTGACAGTCTAATTAAAAAATTAATAAAAAGTTTGTTATTCAGTAATAAATATAATTTTTAAACAAACTTATGAAATAAATCTTTTAGTATGAAACAACATGATCCATTTGTATTGTTTCATACTAAAAAGAAACAATGAAAATTGTTAAGAATTGGGCTGAAGACTGCAATTGGAAACTTTACATATAACAATTGTTGAAAAAATTTTTTTTTATGTTATTTTTTTAAATTGAAACATATACTATTGTTTGGTGAGAACTAGGCATGTTAGAAATATTTAGCACAAACTGTACAAACTGAATGATATTGCTAATGGCTAAAGTCTTTGTTTAATGGTAGAAAGAAAAAACAGGAGAACGAGAAAATGGAGGAGGTTATTTTAAATAACGAAAGAAAAGATTCAGTAAACAAAAAATGTAATGATATAAATAAATTTAAAGATTGGAAAATGAACAAAATAACTAAAACCAAAGTTAATATCCTTTAATCAAAACAATGAAATGTTAAAAAGAAAAAAAAGGAGATAAAAAAAAGAGATGAATTTTGAGCAATAAAAAAAAAAAAAAAATTAAGCTTATATATAGAAGATTTTATTTTATTTTTTTAAACATCTTCGCTTCCAACAAGCTTAGCAACCACTAATTAGTGTTGGAAGTTACTGGAAGAGAAAAGATGAAGATTGTAGAGCAAGATAACGATTGACAGACGACTTAAAAGATTACAAATTATATGAATCAGGAAAGCAAGATAAAGGAAGCAAATTCCAAAGAACTGATGTTGGAGGAATAAAACTAGATGAATAAGAGTTTTTGGAGCACTTAGGAACAGTTACAGAAAAAGGATGAGACTTAATTGAATGACGAGTACCACGAGAATGAATTTTAGTAGATGGCACAAGAGATGCTAGCTCTTTAGAGCAGTGCCCATTATAATATTTGTAGAAAAGAGAAGCAACATTACGATGATGTGACAAAGGTTGATGGTTAGCAGCAAGAGCAGGTCCAACTGTTTACAATGCGTTTTTGCACCTTGTATAAAAGAGTAAGGGCATTATTAGAAGATCCGCCCCAGATATGGCAACAGTATTCCATACAAGGCCAGATTTGAGATTTAAAGAGATAGAGAATAGAATTTAGAGTAAGAAAGTGTCGAGCTCGATAAAGAGATACAACTTTAGCAGATGCTAATCTTGCAACGGATTTGATATAAGGTTTCCAAGAAAGATCAAAAGTAAGAGTTAATCCAAGAAGATGAAGGGTTGATGACTTATCGAGTAAATTACCATTCATAAATATAGGAAGGTCTAAATTATTGTGATAACAATTGGCAATAAAAAATTGAGTTTTATCTCAATTAAATTTCACCAGCCACTGTGAGCCCCATGCTGTAGCAAAAGTGAGATTCCTTTCAAGCTCAAATGCCCCCTGCAAGCAATCAGAGGGCGTTGGCTTCTTATCATAAAAAGAATAAATGGTAGTATCATCAGCAAACAATGCCACCTTAGATGTGAAAATATCTGCAAGATCGTTAATGTAAATTTAAGAGAGTTTAGGGCCAAGGATTGAACCTTGAGGAACCCCTGAGGTTACAGAATAAGAAGAAGAATGCTGTCCATCAAGGACAACTTTTATATTACGATTGGAAAGGAAGGATTCAATAGTCTTAAAAATGTTTCCAGATACACTGTAAGTAGAAAGCTTATGGAGAAGACCAGCATCAAGAGTGATGGCCTTAATCTCTCCACTTTTATCTAATGCAAGATAAAACCTATCGGTTATTACTGTTAGCGAATCAGCCGTAGAACAAGCAAATCGAAATCCATTTTGATGATCAGAAAGTAAGTTATTAGATTCAAGATAAGAGGTTAAGTGTTTGTTAATTAGTCTGAACCATACAAAAGATGTAGAATTATGGACTTGTCCATATTATTGATACTATTAAAGATTCTCCAGAAGTCACGAGAGCCTAATTTTTGTGATGAAATACAAGATTTCATGATCTGAGAATAGCGGGCTTTGGCGTTAGACAAATCTTTTTTACAATGGTCCCTAGCAGTAATAAACAGACATCTATTTTTTGGAGAATTCTTTTGCTGATACATTTGGAAGTAATTATTTCGATTGGCAATTGCAGCAGCACAATGTGAGGAAAACCATGGACAAGAGTGAGCCTTGACCTGGAATCGTCGAGAGGAAATGTAAGGATTCTATGCCAGCTTGAATCCACGAAGTTATCTAATAAGCACATTTGTCAACAGGAAGACGAAAGATTTCTACCCAAAGGCCATCAAGAAGAAAATCACGAAAAGAGTCCCAGTCAGCTTTAAGGTAGTTGTAAGATGTACTATGATAGGGGGATTCTAATGATAAAGAAGAATGAGATAATAGTTTAAGAGAGACCAAATCATGATCTGAAGCATGAATTTAGAGAAACTGACCACTGACTAGGATCAGAAAGATGGCATAAACCAAGTAGAGAAGGTAAATGATTGGGGTTGATGAAAAGCAAGTTGGAAAGTTGACATTTTGACTTTTTGAAAGTTGACTTTTTGAGTTAGGGATTGAAAAAGGCAAAAGTTGTGGGCTTGTAATGCCTGCAGAGTCACTGACACTAGAACCAAGCCATTCAGTGTGATGAACATTAAAGTTACCAACAACAACAGTATTGGCTGATGAATAAAAAGAGAGAGCTTCATCAATATGATCAGAAACATCATCAAGAAGAGTGCAGTCTTAAGATGAGCGATATAGAGCAAAGAGAAAGGTGATAGAGTGAAGTGGTGCTAAATGAAAGCACATAAAAGAGTAGTCTGTGGATTCAAACCTAGTTTCCTGACAAATGGGTGAATTCTTACGAATGTAAATGCCCAGGCCAAGCATGTGACTATTGGAGTCTTTACGAATTAAAGGAAGATAACCATCAACACTAAGATCACAAGATGAGACAAAAGAAATCAAATTAGTCTCACAAAGAGCAAGTAGGTCTGGTGAACTTTGCAAAAGATAAGACTCAACAGAAGAAAAGTTACTTCGAAGACCACGAATATTGGTGAACGATAGGTTTAGCGAACTTGGTGATGACTGTGGGTTTTTGTGTTTTATAGTTTTTGTTACTTTATCCATTTTTAAATTTGTTAAAGAACTTGACTCGAAACATAGATAGAACTAAGTACTCTGTTTTATAACCCAAGCAAATGCCTCATTTCCACTAATAAACCCTAAGCCGTAACAAAAGACTCCAATGTGGCCTTGGCAATGCACACCAAAAGTTCAAACAGGGACACCATCCATGCGCAACATTGCACTGTTAGTTCTATGATTTTTTCAGCTGTTGATGGAATCAGCCTTTCTGAGAGCTACCACAGAGTTTAGGCAACCTGACTACCAGCCAGCCTCAGAACCATAAAACTGAGTTTTTGAGCTGTACCCTCATTTGGAGATAATAGAATGAGTTCCCTAGTCATAAAAAGAGACACAAGCAAAACCTATGCATCGAGTCAAGAAGTTCCAGCATTCAAGATCCTAAACTGGAAACAATGTATTAAAAATACATCTGCGCCAGCCTAATAGATGAAAAAAGGGTGCGAAGCTGGTCAACAGATAGATTCTGTTTACCCCTTAAGTCAATGCCTAGGAGGCCTTCTACAAGACAGCAGCCGGATGCATTTAACATCTGCCCAAGATGAGTATTTTTATCGAGACACCATCATGACATGAAGCAAATTGTACTGGGTTACATGTTAGTACTGGGTTACATGTTACAGATAAAAGGTATAAAAGAAGAATATAAAAACAACATTCCAAAGTGTTTAATGATTAACTATTAATTAAAAATAATAATAAATTATAACGCAATTAATATTAAATTTTTTAATTTTGTTTAAGAATCTGGTGTCCAATTTTTTGTTTTGAATTTATGGTTTTTTGTTTATAATTTTGAGATTTTTTTTTCTCAACTGTTTTACTCTATTGTTCTTTACTAATTTTTTTTTTTACAATACTGTTATATTTCTTTAACAATACTGTTAATATTGCTTTCATTATTACTTTTATTATTATTATTATTATTATTATTATTATTATTATTATTATTGTTATTATTATAGAACTAGTTGTAATTTTTAATAATTTGTTTTATTATAATTTTTTTTTTTGTTATGCTTTTAATATTTTTGATGTCAGTATATTAATCATTATTATTCTTTTTTTTATTTCTTTTAGTTTTCAAGCTTCTAGATAATATAATTCATGTCAATTTGGTTATGATTTTTTAATTTTTAAGTGCTTATACCTGTACCAAACATTGTATGTATACTTGTTGTATCTATAAAAGCAAAAGACATGTTCTTATTCTTAAAGTTATTATTATCTTTATTATTGTTTTTATAAATATTATTATATTGTTATTGTTATCATTAGATTCTAACATAATATTATTAGTTAGTTATAATATATATTAGTAGTTATACAATTTATAAACAAACTTGAAATTCAATAACTATTAAAATAATGTTTTAATTAATTTAACTGTTCAAACAATTATTGTTGTAAACTTTTTTATCTCTAGAATTGTAATTTAAACAAAAATGTATTGCGCTATATCCCTGTTAAAATTTTTTTACATAAAAGTTTAAACTTTTTAAAAATAAGTTGGTGATCCTACTAAGTTTTAATTATAAAAGGTATGATGGATAAACAGAGGTTTATTCATATATAATGAGTATATATAGTCTGTATATACATGTTATATACAGGCATAAAATGTGAAATAGCTTTTTCTCAAAATTGCTGTTTTTATAGCTCATTAAATTTTTAAAGATTAAATTATTAATATTTTAAAAAAATATTATTTATCTCCCCAAATCCAGGCGGGCAATAAATTTTTTTTTAATTTTTATGCTATCCCAACTTAATAATACTGCAAGCAACCACTATTGATTTGGGAGTTACTAGAAAACTAAGAATTGAATTAAAGGAAGTAAACGGTTGACAGAAGACTTAAAAAGTTGTTGGTTGTATGAGTCAGGAAAATATGAAGATGGAAAAGAGTTTTAAAGCGTTGATTATGTATAGAAAAAGATTTAAAAAATGACTAAGACTGAGAAATGACTTTGCTGAATCACCATTCAGCAAAGTCTCATTCTTTTATATTTAATTTTTAGTCTTCTAGTTCTTATCTTTTTTTTAAGTTTTTTAATTCTAAATTCTTTTTAATATGTTATTTTTTAAATCTTTTTTTTTCTATACATAATCAACGCTTTAAAACTCTTTTCTCCATCTTCATATTTTCCTGATTCAAGCTAGAATGAGTTTTGGTTAATAGAACTTGAGACAATAGTTTTTTTGAGTAGCAACCATGATAACATTTCTAGAAGGAAGAAAGAGATGCAACTTTATGGTAACAAGAAAGAGTCTCAAGCTTAGCAGATAGTGCAGGTCTTACTGCTTTACAATGTGTTTTTTGACCTTGTCTAGAAGAAAAAGAGCATCATTATAAGAACCAGCTCAAGTATGGCAACAGTATTTAATACAGGGATAAATAAGAGATTTGTAGAGAGCTAGAGAATGGAATCAGGAGTAAGAAAATGGCAAGCACAATAAAGAGAAGCAACCTTAGTTGATGTTTAATTAGCAATCAATTATATATATTAATTCAGATCAGTTTCAGGATCATCACAACCATCCTGCTACTAGTATCATGTAACCTATTACTACCTGTCCCATGCCCTGCTGCCTTGTAGTTCTTGCTTTTTTAGGGAAAAGCTATGAGAAACAAACTCCAACATAAAAATACACTGCCTTGGAGCTCTTGATAGACTAAAGGCTAAAAATGGTGTCTTGTTAGGCTAGCATATTGCATTTATAATATATTTCCAAGTTTAGGATGTTGAATGTTGGATTTTCTTGACTCAATCCATGGGTTTTGCTTGTGTCTCTGTTTTTATGACTAGGCAAATCACTCTATTATCTCCTAATGAGGGTACAGCTCTAAAACTTAGATTTATTGTTCTGATCATGTTACTGTTTGTACTTTGTTACAACTTGGGGTTTATTAATGGTAATCAGGCAATTACTTAGACACTTAGTGTTCTGAGTAATACATGTGCTTCAAGTCAACTTCTTTAACCAATTTAAAAAATGACTTATGTATCAAAAATTATTAAACACAAAAAACAATTGTCATCATTTACTAATATTTGTGGTCTTCGAAGTAACTTTTCTTCTGTAAGGTCTTACCTTTTGCAAAGTTCACCAAACCTAATTGCTCTTTGTAAGACTAATTTTAGTTTAGCTGTCTGATCTTGGGATCTTAGAGTTGATAGTTATCTTTCTTTAGTTCATAAAAACTCGAAAAGTCACATGCTTGGCCCAGGCATTTACATTTGTAAGAATTCACCCTTTTTCAGAAAACTATGTTAAACTCACAGACTATTCTTTTATGTACTTTCGTTTAGCTTCACTTTACTCTATCACATTTCTTATTGTTCTTTATCACTCTCCTTCATCTTAAGACTGAATTCTTTTTGATGTTATTTCTGATCAAATTAACTAAGCCAATATCATTGTTGTTGGTGTCTTTAATGCTTATCACACTGAATGGCTTGGCTCTAGTGTCAGTGTTTCCTTGCAACAGATCTCACCACCTGCACTCTACGTCATGCTAGTCAATATTGCAATATAATAGGACTACACTACAAAAGCCAAAAAAACCGAATACCTATCCCAGTTTTTGAAAACAGCTCCAACATTCTTAGAGATCTTGTGAGGGTGGTGAGGGATGCGCATGGTGTGACCACACCACATGCAAAAATATACATTTATAAATGTTTTGTAACTAGTTAATTTTATTATTCATTTTTTATCCTTTAACATTATGTAATTATATATTGATTACCTTCTTACATTTTTTTCAAGAATTTCTGTTCTTACTAAATGCCATTGGAGTTTTTGAAATATCGTTTAATAGCAAAAACAGTGAAGTTCAAGAAAATGACATGATATGGATTGGTGGAACTGCTAGTTTGATTTGTGATAGAACAGATAATGAACCAATGAGTGGAATTCAGCTTGGTAAAACAATTACTTTTTCTACTGATGCACCCAACAATGGTTTTTTTATATCATTTTTTATATCAAAGCCATTTGAATATTTGATTCCAATAAATACTGTGGGATTATTTAATTTGCTTGCAAATGTCTCTGATTATGTGCCATCTTTTCAAATAGTGAATTATTCGTTTCCCATTCAGGTTTGTTAAATACTTTTATTCTTATATTTTGTCAGTTTTGCCATACTTAAAAATGTCTAAAAACATAACATACAAAATAACTTGATTGTATCATGTAATTTTGCATTTAAAATATTTTTTACCAACAGAAAAGCTAATAATTATATATACTAGAGTTGTTAGCCGGAAGATTTTATACAATTCCGGAAAAATAAAATTCTTTCAAAAGGATATTGAGAATCAGGTATGTTGTTTTTTTTATACCAAACTTTGCGAAGCAAAAAAAACGGCGATGTTCATTTTGCAAATGCTACTTAGGAAATGTAGCCTTTCGCAAGTTAAATTATGAAATAAAACTATTTTGCTGCATACAAAAGTATGGAAGTCGCACTTGCGAAATGAGCTCTTTTGCTAAACAACATTTTGAAGTCTATAAAAAAAGTTTGTTGGCCAAATGGATATAATTTAAAAAAGAAAATTTTTATATACAAAAATGTTTATAATAAAATTTTATTTTCAGTATTGTAACAAAATAACATTTTAAGGTTTTATTTTTTGAAATAATGATAAAAAACCAAGTTTCTTTTGAAAAGAAACTATTTTGCACAGCAACATGTGAAACAGTTCCTACTGGGAAAATTTTTTTACGAAACACTGCATAAATATATTTATATTTAATTACGTTTTATGAATCAAATACGTATAGTTAACTAAGTAACTAAAAAACTAATTGTTATATGATATTGATAAGTTTCATAATAAGTTTCTAAGTTTATTTTTATAAATAAACTAAGACTTAGTTTTAAGACTTAATATACTTTTTAAAATGCCATTTTATGAATAAAAATTTAATAATGAAGACAACTTGAACTATGTTAACATACGAATGCAATGGCATAATCGGAAATAATGTCTATGTTGAAATCAAAAATAGACTTTATTCAAGTAATGAATACTAAAATTTAATTATATATTAAAATTAATTTTAATATATAATTAAGTTTTAAAACAAGTGAAATTGTTCCATTTGAAAACAAGTGAAAGCCTAAAAATAGCTTTCATTTGTTTTCAAATAGAATGATTTTTTGTTTAGTCAGTTTCATTTTTTTATTTTTGAAGTGCTCTGTTATACGAGCTTTTGCCTTTATAATATAATAATATAATAGTCCTGTACACTTAAAGAGTGATGAGTTCAAACTACGTAGAGTTTGTAACTGTAACAGCTGTAACACACAAACATACAAACATGATAAAAGTTAGAATTTAAAATATTCATCATTCAATTTGTTTTTGAACTGGTTGATACTGACTGCGTCTATTGTTTCTTGTTTAAGATTGTTCCAGTCGTTTACTACTCCATTAGTAAAAAATTATGTTGTTTTATATTTCCTGTATATTGCCTTCTCAGTTTACTATTGTGACCTCTAGTTTTATATCCATTATCTAGCATTTCGGGTTTTGTGTAAAAATTTATGATATCGTACCCTTTAAAATATTTGAACATTTGTATCAAATCACCCTTTTTTCTTCTGTTCTTCAACAACAGTAAATCCAACTTCATAACTGTATCCTTTCAAACTTTTAATTCTAGAAGCTTTTTGTTAGACACTCTCTAGCTTATCTTTATCATACTGCCAAAAAGGATTCTAGATGGGAGCTGTGTATTGCAAATGTGGACATACTAAGACTTTAAACAAGAGTTTTACCATTTTTTTATCTGAATATTTAAAGGTGCATTTGATCTGACCTAGCTTTTGATTTGCTTTATTTACTGCTTTATTTACATGATGTTTCCATTCCAAATCATCTGAAATGTACACTCCTAAATCCTTTTCCATGCTTGTGTAGGCAGTTGTATTATTCATTAAAACATTGCGCTGGTTATTTCCTATCCTTACATTATCGTTTTTTATTGCTCTCAGGTTTTTCATGTCATTAGAAAATAGTTTATAGCTTGATTTATTACCTTATTTATTACCTTTTATTACATTAATAACAACAAGTAAATTTAAAAATATTTTAGACATCCTTTTCAATGATTTTTTCTATAATGTTTTCATTATAAAAAACAAAGTTTGGGTGGAAAGGTTTGTTGGGCACTTTTTCCCCTTTGTATCGTTGGCCCTGGCCTATGCAACATCCCAACGTTATTGTGACTATACAACTGCTAAAAGTTTTAAAGCTCACCTATTTTGGAGAGTAGTGAAAAATTATTTGCAATATGTATAAGAGAACTGGGGGCATAACCGCATATGGAGGGGAACCATTCTTAAATATTTCCTTTTGAAAAATGTTATCTAATTTGGCAAAAAACATACCATGCGTTGGTAAAACAGTTTCCTTCAATTTACTTATGTCAAAAAAAATGCCTGCTGTGTTTCTGAGAAAGCGTCCATAATTACGTTTATTTTGATAAAAATATTATTTTTCATCTTATTTTTCCAGACCTTTCTTTTGCAGATTAAGCAATATTTAATTTTAGTGTTAAATATATGTATTGTCAGCGTTATTTCATTGAATGAAAACCTAATTATTAAAGGGATCCCCAACTGCCGAAACAAGTTGTGTTCATATTAAAGAAAATGTTTAAAAAAAACATTTGGGCTAATTTTTTTTGATTAAAACTTTATAATGAATGCACACCATTAAATTTAAAATTCATGTTTTAGTCGAAGCTCGTCGTCTCCATTTTTTTTGGTTCTTGGAGTCTGTATAATGTTAGCTGCAATCTGCAGATTTGATAATTTATTCCATGCGTGTTAATTCATAACAGTTTTGGTATATGACGTCATCGTAAAAATTTTTTCTTTCAAGATGTCGTATTATTTTTTTGCCAAAATCACCAATGTTAATTGTATAACTTTTTTTGCCAAAATCACCATGTTAATTGTATAACTTTTAACTAAATCCGAAAAAAAGTTTATGATGCAATTAAAAATTAATTTTATAAAAATAAAAATTTAATATATAACGAATATTTACAGTAAAACGTACTGGTTTAAACTAAATATAAACTAGATACTAAAAGAATAATTTTACTAAAGCGTATAAATTAATTTAAAGTATAAACTGATAAAAAAACAAGTGACTTGAATAAAGCATATAAACTGAACTAAGTAGAAAATAAAAATTAAACGACTTATTTTACTAATAGCCATTCAAATCAAACTAAATTAAAGTTAAAACTTTGTGATATTTTTTTTATAATTACACAATTATAGCTCTTATTTTCTCTTGATTATGTAGAGAATTAATTAAAGCTTCAAAACAAACAAATTCTATGTGTCTAGAATGGAAATTTATGTACTTTACAAGATAAATTGTAAAGCACACTCGAAAGCTGCAACCAGTGGCTATATATAAATATATATATATATATATATATATATATATATATATATATATATATATATATATATATATATATCTTGAAATATGTTTATAACCAATAAGTAAAAAAGTTAGTCAACAAAATAAACAATAAACGAAATATTTTCTTTATTTAATTTTACAAAAATTACTCTAATTATAATATTAGTGCTAAAATTTATAATTAGAGTAATTTAATTATATATATATAAATATATATATATATATATATATATATATATATATATATATATATATATATATATATATATATATTTTAAAATATTCATCCAATTTGTTTTTGAACTGGTTGATACTGACTGCGTCTATTGTTTATTGTTTAAGATTGTTCCAATCAGTGTATGTATATATAAATGTATATATATACACTGATTATTATATCTTTTGAAATCGGAGCTAAATTTGCTGTGTCGTTGTGAAACCACCTCTAATTTTGTGTTGATTGCATATTCATCTTCAATAAATGGCTGACATTTTATTTTTGCTAAATTACAGGGAAGGGGGGCGGATGATTGAAAAATATTTTGACAATTTCCCCATTCCATCAAAATGCCGTATCCAATTTATTCCTGATTAACACCCTTATATACCAGGTATATATGTCTAAATTATTGGAGAATCATTTAACAACATTATCTTTATTCAAATAATAAATAATTAATAATTATGTTTAATGAATGCTTTCGAGCCTTTTCTGTAAGTGCACATTCCGAAATAGTCATTCCGTAAAGAACTGTTTTGCTAGTATTCTTTCAAAATGATTTTTTCCGCAAGTTTTTTTCGTAAAGCATTATTACAGAATTATTATTAATTTTTTTCGTGTAATGGATTACAGAAGGTGAATTTGCGCATGTACAACTTCCGTAATAGCAATTTTAATTATGGAAGATAAAAATGCGAAATTTTCTTAAGTTTTGTTTATCGGCAAACAACCCTAGTATGTACTAAAATTTTTGTTAAAACAGCATTTATATGTCATCTTTTCAAATAATGAATTATTTATTTCCCATTCAGGTTTGTTAAATACTTATATTCTTATATTTTATCTGTTTTGCCATATTTAAAAATGGCTTAAAATATAACATACAACATAATATGATTGCATGATGTTGTATTTTTGTATTAATTTAAAATATTTTTTACAAACAGAAAAGCTATTAATAGTATATACCAGAGTTGCTAACCAGAAGATTTCGTACAATTCCTAACAATTACTAAGGTGTTCGTTAAAACAGCAAAAAGTGATTTGTTAAAGCTTTTAAAAAAATGATTGAAACATTTTTTTCTTGAAATATGTGAAACATTTGTGATCATTTGAATTTAATTAAATTTCAAATACAGAATTTCATTCAATTTTCTACATAAACACAACATTTTTTTTATAGATTCCAGTTTCTGGTTTACGATTTGCTGAAAATTATCCGATTCAAAAAAATGTTGCAGGCTACAAGCCTAAAAGTTTGTTATTATTAAAAGCTGTTATACAAAGCGGATCAGATGTTTCTTATTTGTTTGATATTCCAAAGTTAAATTATTCTGCGAACATATCCAATGGAGACACTGTAAATTTCACAATGACTACCTTAGGTAATAATATTCTTAAAAATTTAGTAACGATTTTTATAGAAACCAATCATTCTAGTTTTTTAATATTTAATTGTTTACAATTGGGAGTTAGTGAGATCAAACCAAAGTATAAGAATAAATTGTTTGACTTTATTTTTGTTAATGACATTATTAAAAACTTTTCAATGGTCTTTGCAAATTAAGTTAGATAACCTTTAGACAAAACATTTTTTATGTTATTTTTTGTAATTGTAAAAAAATGTTTGTTCCAAAAGAGAGTATGATTACAATGATTGCAATTTGAAATATAGCTCATGAAAAGAAAAACTATAACGAAAAGCGAGGATTGATTGGAAACTGTTTAGAAGTAAATAAAGAATGCCTGAATCAAAGGGTTTACTTTGATCTTTGGTTTGTCATTGGATCAGCTGCTGTTGCTGGAATCAAAGTCTCTTAAAGCTACCACAGAAATTCAGAAATCTAATTACCAGCAGGCTTCAAAACTGATATATTGAGTTTTAGAGCTGTATCATTATTTAAAAATGAGAAATCTGCTTAAAATAAAATCTAAAGATTTTACTAAAACTGCTTTAGTAAAATCTTTTTTCAAATTTAACCATCAAATATCTTGTAGATAAATAACTGTTGTTTGTTGATAGATATCAGGGCACAACAAATCAACAAATGTGCTAAAAGGCAGAAAAACAAACGTTATGCTTCTTTGTTTATGTTTATGCAAATTTTGGTGTTTGCTTAAAATTTTTTTATAATTAAGCGGTTGAAAGTTATTATAAAAAACACATCTTGATAGTAAAAAACAATTACAAATATTTGAATCACATTTTCAAAGACCTTTAATAACCATGCTAAAACATGATTACTTTCTTTAATAGCGTTACTCTTGTGTAAAATAATTAAGTACGCTATAGAAGATAGTTGTTATGTTTAGCATGTGTTTACAAAAGCATGCAAAATTTTACTTAAAATTAGCGCATTTGCAATTATCTTAAAAAAAAGCCTTGCTTAAACATTATGATTGTTTTTTTCAATAGTGTGCTTTTTATTATATTATTATTATATTTATTATAGCTTTTGTTTTTTATTGTGTGTTTAACAACATGACATTTTTATTAACTTACTGTTAAACTTACGATATTATTTTTAAGAAAAGAAATGTCAAAATAACTTTTATTTTATTTTCAGTTTCTTTTATTTCGATTTCCTCAAGTTTATACGTTTTTTTTATTAGTGAGTGAGTTTAACGGACTAAATTAAGAAAAAATTGCTATTTTGTTTGCTAAAGGTCTTCAAATTTTAATTTGGGCAGCGCCCAAATACAGTCAATGCTGTCGAAAATGGTCTAGAATACCCCCTGATATATATATATATATATATATATATATATATATATATATATATATATATATATATATATATATATATATATATATATATATATATATATATATATACATATATACTTAAATATACCTATATGCTGTAATTATCTTTATTATATATTTAGTTTGCTATTGTTTAAAAATTTAGTAATCTTTGAAATAAAACTCAAAATTTTAAACTCAAGCAAAAAAAAAATTTTTTTTTTTTTATGAATTAAATAAAACATTATATGAAAAACATTGCAGAATAATTGGTTTGTTTGAGTAAAACAAAAAAAAAAATAATTCGTTTGTTTGAATAAAACAAAACAAAATAATTTGTTTGTTTGAGAACTTTCTTGATGAATAATCTGAATATTACACTAAAATTGCTAACCATTGTAATGCACTCAATGGCACAATAATAAACTGTTCAACAACGAATTCATTCATTTTTCATCAATTCAAACACATACTTGATATTTCAAATATTGTCTACAATATATTTGTGACATTTTTTTGAAATTGCTATTACTACTACTGCTTGAAATAAATGTCATGATGATTGATTTGTCCTAATAAAATCAATTGCCATATCTTGTCATGATAAAATTAATTGTCATATCTTGTCATGATAAAACTGTTGTATCTAAACAAAATAACACTTAAAATGTTACTAATTAACTAAAAACAAAATATTTAAACGAAATAGAAATTGGTTTTTTATTTATGTTTTATTTATTAAATTTGTTTTAAAACAAGAAATATTTCTTAAGTTGCTTCTTTTTTTGATTAAAAAGTTTTGCTTAATAGAAGTTTACATTTTCTAATGTTTAATATCAGAGTTTTCTTTTTCCTATGTAAGTTGTTTTCACTATGGATAATGATCCTCATCTGACTCAAAGATACATACATATAGGTATACATACATACATACATACATACATACATACATACATACATACATACATACATACATACATACATACATACATACATACATACATACATACATACATACATACATACATACATACATACATACATACATCCATACATACTTACATACATACATACATACATACATACATACATACATACATACATACATACATACATACATACATACATACATACATACATACATGCATACATACATACATACATATATGTATACATACATACATATATTTATTCATAATATAGAATTATAAATTTGTAATATATATGTACTTGTATAAAATAGTTTGAGTTTATTTTAGGATTTTTTACAGTGTATCTGACAGCAGCTAACAGGTTTAATTCTATTAGTACTTCAATTGACATTGCTGTTTTATCAGAAATAAATGGTCTTTTTTTGAATGTTGTAAAAGAACAATTACAAAACTCAAGTTATAACACTACTGTAAGCTTATTTAACGGAACTGAAGTACAACTAATGATTGATTTTGGTGATGGAACACCTCCAACAGTTTTAACTAACATTATTGGGACTGGTGTTAATGGTTACACTTACATAATCAATCACACGTAAATTGTTTTTTTTAGTTTTTATTTCAAGTGATTAATTTTTACTAATCTATAATTTAGTTTATAATAGATATAAAATAATTTTGTTATACAACTGTTACAACACAGCAGGTACCATAAAAAGAAAGTCAAGTAAAGCCTTCCAATGCCTAAAAAAATGAAAAAAAAAAAATTACAATTTTTAATTACAAAAATATTATTTCCATTTTATTGTTAGTAGAATTAAGATATAAAGACTTAAAAAAATTGCTGTAACAACCCAGTTCTATCAACACAAAACACAATAACAATAGCACATAGCATAAGATATTTGTAAGCACACATCTCTCCAAAATAATTAAAAAAGAAAAGATTATAAAAAGGCTAGACAACTTAACTTAATAACGTATAACACCACAAATTAATAAGATATTTTATCAACTAAAATACTTGAACTAAAAAGATTTTATTTAATACAATATTGAACAATTATGTTTAAACAATTTAAACAATTATATCATAAAATAGCAAGCAGCTCATAAAATATTTTATATACATGGTCATTATGAATTGTGGTACTAAGAAACACGTAAGAGCTCAGTAGCTATATAAGTTTTATTAATGCTTCATGTACTAATTCTCAATTAATTCTCATCTAAGAGTAAACAAAATTATTTTTACCTTTATTATGTAAAGTTCCAGCTTCTCTTTAACTGTCAACTAATGATTAATAGAGTAAATTTCATATCATTAAATTTACAAAATTAAAACCATGTTTCAACAGTAAGCAAACTAATCAAGTGATAACATAAGCAACTAAAAAAAAAGAACATAATTATGTTTGAATTTATAATAAAATTTAAAATCATTTAAATTTTAAACTATTATTAACTGTTACTATAAAAAGTAAAATTCATGCCTGGTATTGTTCTAAAGTGTTTAAAGTAAAATCAAATAAACAGACATTAACACGGCTTGACACTTTTTTTCTAGCAAGTAAGTTTTCTGCTCGTCGAGCACCATTTCGTACATTTTAACAACGACTAATTTTATCTTGCCTAGCTCTATCTCATTTATTTGGACAACAATTATTTTCACCTATTAGCATTTACACAAATAAACTCTTCGCTATTATTATTAAATTATTAGCCATTTCAATTTCACTGTATTCTTTAAACATATTACTAGTAATATTACTATTGTTGCAACTAAATAATAAAAAAATGAAAAAGAATCTTATTTTATTATTAAATTGTGATCTTTTCTAATCAAAGAGTATATTTTAACTTAAGATTAATTGAAATCCATATCTTTTTTTAAGTTTATATATATGAGTTGTTTATCAAAAATATAAAACTATATTTATTTACATTAATAAATTGAAATTTAACAAAGAATCTAGACAACAATACATAATCTAAAAGTGTGAAAAATGAAGCAATATCAGTCAGTATATTTTACTCTAAAGTAATAAAATAAAGAAATTCAAGAGTATGTGTATATTAATATTTTTTAAGAGAAAATATTCATATACAGAGAAATGAAAAATATACTGGGATATAGGCACATTTATGTATATAAACTTATTTGTCAACCAATCACAGACAGTTTTCCGTGTTAAATAAATAAAATATATATCTAATAAAGAATAAACCTATAAAATCTAATAAAAATATAAAATAAAAAAATATAGCAAACTTACTAAAATCAGCACCAGTTCTACTGTCTAAAAATTTTCATTATTATTAAAAAATAACAATTAACATTATCATCAATTTAACACATTACCACATACACATTATGTATAAAAAGTTATTAAACTTTGAAAATAATTTAAACATATGATTATACATGTTATGAACTCATTTAACCTTATATAACACATAACATTGTAGCTATAGTGATTACAAAACACATTTTACACAATTATAAACAGAGAAAATGATAAATTTTATAACACAATTTTATAAACACACATTAACAATGACAACCAAAATAATACTATTTTGAAGATTGTATTCTATAAATTCAATTCCCTGCACTATTCCTGTATTTAATTGTCAATCTTAAGCAGTAAACAGACTTTTTAAATAACTTAAAGAAATGACTTACAATTAATGGATTTAAAATTATTCTGGAATAACATAATGTCAAATAAATACAGAAAAATATTAAGAAAAAATGATATCCAAAGTTTATGAAATGGTATAAAGCACTATATGGAGATTTTTGCGAAGTAATTTTAAAATGGATTTAAGGATTTGAACCTCTTTCCAATTCTTTTTTTAATAATAATCAATGCAATAATATTATTTGCAGTAAAAATGATTTGTGTTATATTCATTAATGTAATTTAAATTCTTGTAGATTTACTCATCTTGACAATCATTTGACATTTAAAGAGCATATTTGCAACAAAAAAAATGTCTGTAAATTAAAAAAAAATGTCTGTAAAACTGTTAAGTCAATGTCATGATACAACTGGCTTTCCAGTAACAAAATCTGGCTTTCCAGTAATAAAATCCGGCTTCCCAGTAACAAAAACTGGCTTCCCAGTAACAAAAACTGGCTTCCCAGTAACAAAAGCTGGTTTTTCCCAGTATCAAAGACTGGTTTTTCTCAGTAACTGGCTTCCCAGTATCAAAAACTGGCTTTCTGACAACAAAAACTGGCTTTCTGACAACAAAAACTGGCTTTCTGACAACAAAAACTGGCTTTCTGACAACAAAAACTGGCTTTCTGACAACAAAAACTGGCTTTCTGACAACAAAAACTGGCTTTCTGACAACAAAAACTGGCTTCCCAATAACAAAAACTGGTTTTTCCCAGTAGCTGGCTTCCCAATAACAAAAACTGGCTTTGCAGTAACAAAAAAACAATTAGTAAAAATTAAAAGAAATGTCAGCATCTTTTAATTTTTACTTTTGTCATTATTTGTAAAAATAAATTGTCAAAAAATCACATACACAAACACAAATTGAAATGCAATGGTTTATAAGAAAATGTTTTATTATTTAATGAATATTTTAATCAAAACATGAATAACTTTTAAATAAAAAAAAATACCTTCTAAATTATTATACATCATGAAATATTTTCATATAAGCAATTTATAAAAAAAAAGTAAAATATATAAGAAACAGCAATAGTGAAGCTAATTATTCAATGACATAAATACATGTTTTATAAACAAAGATGAACAAAAAAGAAAAATTTAAATAAGACATGATTCAATAAATTCCAAACCCTCTGTATGGTTTGGGGTCCTGCTTTTCTTTCCCTGTAATTTAAAAATATGTCATAAGACAGATCTAAAATAAAAAACACAAATAAAAATATCAATGCATAGGTATAGCAAGAAAGAATATTTAAAATAATATTTAAATAGTTAAAATAAAATTTTACAGCTACAAATAAAGAACATTCCAAAATATAATATTATTTGTGTAACATTTTCCATCTACCATACTTTGAATAGGATGTTTATCAACTTTAAAAACAAACTATTAAACGCCCTTGTTCTTGAATACGCAACATATAATTGACCATGAGAGAAACATAGTTTTTTTAAATAAACACCAACTCTATCAAACGTTTGACCTTGGCTTTTATTAATTGTCATAGAGTATGCCAATTGAACCGGAAACTAGCGACGTTTTAAAACAAAAGGTAAATTAGAATTAGACTGAGCCAATGATTTCTAGGAACAAATACTTGTTTACCTTCAGAAACACCTGTCAAAACCTCTGCATCAATATAATTGTTTTGGCGAGCACAAACTTTTATTTGAGTACCATTACATAGCCCAGCATTAAGATCTAGATTTCTAAGTAGCATAATTACACAACCAATTCTCAATTTTAAACAATCAGTAGGCATACCTGAAGGAGTTAAGCTGTTCAAAAATTTAAGCACTTAACTAAGTTTTGACTTCTCCATGAAGACGTTCAAGCGCATCTTCATTGATTGACAATGAATCCACATTAGTGGGTGTTAAAATGACATGTTTAGCATTATTATCTTGTTGAGCATCACCAAATATTTTTTCAACAATTGAATCATTTTCTCTAATAATTCACTGTTGGGGTATTTCAATACATCCTTTAAAAGGATCTTCCTCTTTGACAGGTATTATTCCACTACCAAGTTTTAACAGCCATTCGGAATATTCTCATTCTCCATCACATACTCTCATATTTTCAGTTAATGTAAACTTCTGCACCTATTGCCACTGTAAAGAACATTTTATACATGATTCTACAACTTCAGCTGGTCATCCTCATTTCACAACAGGCAATATTTGCCTAAAGTCACCACCAAAAAGAATGACTTTTCCACCAAACGAAAAGTTGTTGTTGCAAACATCTTTTAACAACCGATTAATTGCATTTAAAGCGTGTTTGGGAATCATGGATATCAAGAATAAACAAAATTACTTGCCTTAAAAATTGTCCATGAATAGAGTTAGAAGTGACATTACATGTGCTCTTATCCAGTATTGGGACAGGAAGTTTAAATAAGCCGTGCAGCATAGATCCATTTGTAAGAAGAGTTGCTGCTATGCCAGTCCATGCAGCTATAACAGATTTAACACATTTACTGCTTGTTTCAGCAATCAAATAGTTATTTGTAAAAGTTTTGCAACTACAACTACTGGCTGGTCCATCCATAAAAAATAATCTGGAAAGTTGATTTTCTACACTTGGTTGCTTGTTCAATGCAGCAAGGACAGCATTACATACATTTAATTGATTGACATTGAGAAGCGGTCTCATTCTATTAGCTTCGTCAATTGATTGCTAAACAATATCATTTAATTTTTCTAGATTAAAATATATGAATTCATCAACAACAAGCAAATTATAATCAGATAGCATTTTACCACTTTGATTAATAATCTTTTCAATTTGACGATGAGTAGTTTGTTCAGCTAATATAAATGAAACTTGGCAATGAATGAAATCCTCCATCATAAAAGCTTTGTATGTATTCCAAAGATGCATAGGGTCGTCAGGTTCACA